ACTCTGTATAAAGCGGTGCAAAAATTGCACTAGGAATGAGAACACATTCCTTTCCTGATAAATTCTGAAAGTTTCTGATTTCATCAAAGGAGACTGTTTGGGACACGGCAGCGTCAAAAGGGGAATTTTGCGGGTTACAAACTTTGTTGGATACATAAAACTCTCGTCATCAGGATTCCTTTTAAAACAATCTATTTTTTTAATGCAGGATGCCAGGATTCAAATAGCTTTTTAAACAGCCACAATAGATATCAGATATCACACACAAGATAGGAGTTTCCGACGAAAAAATTTTAAAGATGAGAACTTACAGACTATTGTAAAATATATTCTACTTGAATATATTAAAATATTATTCAAGTTTTGAAATATTTGCGCAATGGTTTACAATAAATTGAAAACTCCGATCGTTTCTCAAAAACAGGGCGTTAATGTTTCTTCTTGTTCCTAAAACCTGCCATATTAACAATTATTTATGACTTAAAATTTACAGTTTAGTAGTTTTTCCATCACTTTCTTTGGTTTAAACAGAATACTACCTGGTCAATATCTTGGAAACCGATAGATTTTAGAAATACATAAGGACAGAAGTTAGTCGAACGCGATGTGAATTTCGCCTGTGCAACTTCATTGAAAATAAAAATTCATAATATTTTATATAGACATTATATCAACATGATTAACAAATAACTGTGATTAATTGGTGAAAACTAAATGAATTAAATATTGTTAATGCCTATCTCTTGGCTGATGAATTCTTCCGCAATATCAAAAATTTCATCAATTTTTGCCGGTTTTTCGGTCTGAGTGTTTGGTAAATCCGGGAATTGAGTGTCCAGCCATTGAAACTCTGGGTCCTTTCTATAAGAGTCATATTTGATAACTTTCTCATTTAAGTTGCTTTTAGAATCAGCTTTTGGAGCTGCTGAAGATTTCACAACTGCTGCATATGACGTACTTGGAGCACTAGTTAGGTGGTTCTGACTTGATGATATGCCATTGGTGTTCGGTGCTGTGGTCTCCAACTTTTGAACGGTTTGAATTCTATTTCTGATTTTCCTTCTCGATACCGCCTTTTCAAACTGCCACTCGCCTAAAGGCAAATTTGATTGAGAATCAGACGCTTGATCAAAGTCCACAGGTTCCTGTTTAACAACAGTACTCCGAAAGGAATATGTGGAATCAACCGCTTCGTCATTCAGAATATAGGTTTGGAACAGATCGTTCAATTTCTCAGTTGGTTTTCTATAGAGGGACTCGCAAGAGGTTGACATCGATTCATTCCAAAGTGGTTTTAAGTTACCGATCAATTCCCGGTATCTCCACACTTCAGTATCGTCACAATTCTCTGTTTGAGTGCCTTTGGATCTAGATGACTTCTTGGGTTTGAGCGGATCTAGATAAAATAGCGTGGCAGGAATTGGGGAAACCGCAACCCGATAAATCGGCACGTTGACGCACTGCAGCACCAAAGTAAAAGGTGGCATATTTTCAACCAGTACGGTATAATATGTTTGCTTTATGTCTTTTGGAGTTGGCCCAAACCTTTCTCTGGCTTGCAGTAATTTGGGAAACTGGCTTCCATATGTTTCGTAGAAGAAAGGACTCGGTTGAAACATAATGCAGTGCAAAGCTGGATAGTATTCTTTTTGGAGTGAATAGCTACAAACAGAAACAGATAACTGAATAAATAAAAAATGCATCTTCTATCTTTTCCATAGAAGGCTTATACAGGTCAAATAATTAAACCAATAAAATTTACTGAGATCTAAGCAGACGCACTGCGATCAACAGTTAATAAATGTAATAAAACACTTTGATTTAAAGTCTGATAATAAAGTGGTCAGGAAACAGTGTACTTCCATTCTGCAATGAGCGCTTCTAAAATGAAACTTGCAATATAAGAAACAAAAATCCCCACCATTGAAAAAGAAAAAGTTGGAACACATATTATTTGGTATTGATTGGAACACAGGTAAAAAAATGAATAAAAAAAACTAGTGCCAGTTCCTAAAACATAAATTGTCCTTTTGAAAAATTTAAATATGAATCAAACTTCGGGCTCCAAAGTGATGATAACTTTTAATTGTATTCTCACAATGAAAATTTAATTGCGAGCAAATATTCGAGCAGTATAAATAAATTTTGTCAAACAGAAATAAATACATTGAAAAACAATGTGGCATCCGGACCTACTGCTTAAGAAAACAAATTAGTAGGAATAGATTGAGGTGTTGGCTTTGGACACTACTAGACCAGACATCCTAAGTTAATAAACTTACTGAAAAAAATATTAAATTTGTGAGAAATTGTGAAATAAACACAAACTAAATTAACACAAAAGAGAACCAAAACAGGAAGTTGCAAAGCAGATAGCTGGCCTAAAGAAGCATACGACTGAATACGTTGAAGTTTGATGATGGCCATGAATAATTTTCTATCTGCAAATAACATTTAAACTTTTATTATCTACTTCAATTATTATAAGACGGAAGTTACAAAGATAAAAAATGGCAGAATGTAAATGCAATACCTTCAGTCTTCTATTTTATTATTAAATGGATAAAACACGCTAAATCTTTCGTCAGTGGTAAACTGCTGAAAATGCCTCCATTAGCATGGAGCGCGAGACGGTTGTAACAAGCATTGAGGAGAGCTAGGAGAAAGAATAAATATTCAAATTTTTTACTAAGCGATTATATCAAAGAAACATCCGATTCCAAGAACTGTGTTAAATCCATTAATTTTGTATAGGAACTGGAAATAAAAAAACAGTGAAGAAGGAAAATATCTCAGCTCGCTCGTGCCCGAATCCGCCACTAATGTAAATAACCACAATTAATAAAATACAGCTGTGTTCAGAATGTAAAAATGCAAGAAAAATATTCACAAAAAATGCTTCTCTGGCTCGATTTAAGAGAGCATATGTGTATTACTGGCGCAAAAATTTCAATTTCCAGCGAATTTCTATAGTTACCTGCTGCACAGTAGCACGCGAAACACCCCATCTGCGTTCACATCTCTGATTCTCCTTGGTCTTCCTCTTTCGCCTTTTTTGTATTGAAAGGTCAATTTCATGTTGATACTGTAGCCGAGTATTCCGGTCGTTATGGGTGTCAATTCAATCCCGGCATCCTATAAATTTTACCAAATCATTGGTGGTTTAATTGAATTTTTTCACTCACCAAAAGCGTTAGCATCGCGGCTGTTCCATTATTAAAAACAATGGAATTATCAAAAGTCAATTTGTCCAAATCAATCCAATGATATTGCTGCCTCGAATGTCGACAATACATGCCGTAGCGACCACACACGCAAATAGATTGCTTTTTCAGTGAATTGAAGAATGGCCAATAACCAGTGTTTAAAACAAAACCAGTAGGTAGAATTTGATAAAACACATCAAAAATCTAAAACAATGTCAATAAATAACAGCTGAAATAGGGTTGAAACATTTTAAAATGTATGCTGTATTTCGAAGGTTTCAATTGAAAGTGTTTTATTTTTAACAGCAATTGTGCTAATTTATAATTCAAAAAAATACATTATGAATTACTTTTCCATTTAAGGAAAAAATGCATAATCTCAAAATGATAAGAAACGTTTCCTAAGCATAAAGCTTCGGCAGTCTGAGGTTTTCAATCTGTCCCAAAGGAAAAATAGTCTTAAAGCATCCAATATGGAGAGTAACGCACATTTGGAAGTGCCCAATGGGGCATTTAGATACGGGTTTTTAGATGCTGTAAAGTACACCCTCGAAAATAAAATTGGTCCCTACATTTAAGCTGTTAGATTTCATTTAAATATATCTGCTTTCTATTTCAAAAGTTATGGGTAAACTCTTAATTAAGTGGCAGTAGTAATATCGCTTATTGCTCACGGTGCTGCTCAGCAAAGTGCCAATTATTTAAAGTTCATTTTTTGAGCGGACAGTCACAGCTACTTTAGACATTATGTTGATGGCAGAAGTTCATCTCGAAAAAAACACTTAATTGATGAACCCTCATGATGGATCAAATTTAGCAAACTGTTGGTCCCCAGAAAAGAGTGCTTGATCTACTACCGTCAATCTGGTCATATAAGCCCATCATTCTTCCCGTTCTCTTAACACCTTTTACATAAGAATCCAAAAACCAGACTCCAAAATTCGCAACAAAACAATGAACTTATTACTTATGCATTACTTAAATTTAAAAAAATGCTCCTCTTGGTACCACATTAGAGCAATTATCCTTTGTATCGCACAAAGACGTGTTCCAACACATAAACGATTATTGCCTAAGCCAAAAATATTTTTCCACTTAATTGAACAGAACTAATTGCCTGGTCACGTTTTGGTGTGTAATTATCCTCAGACATGTTTCCACGAACAGGGAACTCCCCTGGGGATCGGAAGGCTATAAATAAGAGAGCGAATGATATTACCACAAAAAATAAATCCTAGCACAGAATCAGCAGTGTGCAAAATGAATCAAACCTACTTCTTTAACAAGGGATATCGTGTGATTTTAGCAATGTTAAAGTTTTTGAGATTTCTGAAATAATCTTAAGGATCGATGATTTATTTCGCCCTAGGAGTAAGCTGACACATATTTGTTAGCTCCGCTTGCACTATAAATTAAGAGTTTTAAGTCTTTTGTGTAATTTTCTATCAAACTGAACTTTTTTTTCATACTGCCTTCCACATTCTCCAAATTCGCTGCTTATGCAATTTACTGTGCTGATACAAAAAAACTTCAAAGTTTTGCTGGTCCCCAGTACTTCCATGAACCTGAATGAACATGAACAAAGAATTGCTGCATTAATTTTTAGTAATCTTGCGTAAATCTGCTAACCACGGAGTTTTCTGCTACAAATTTACACGCAAAAACGTTTCTTCCCAGTTAACACTCCGATTTTCGGTTTAAAATATTCAAACCTGCTTATTATTGATGAAGTTACGCGAAAGTATCGGCAATATCTGATGGAATAAAATCAATATATCGCCAGTAATTGAAGCATGATAGATTTTAAAGAAATTAAGGGTGTGCAAAACAAACATTTTCTGAGATAGAAGCTGGGAAATTTTGTAAAAAGTGGTTTTTGTCTGAATATCAGCAGTTTGCGCTAATAACTACCACTCTTTCTACTTTCTGCCATCTGTGAAATATCACTGGAAATCTGGGATCAGTTTCAGGGCCCAGGTCGATTGATAAATTGAGATAAATAGAGCTCTTATGCTCTGGGGCCATTGCAGTGATTTTCATCGTTAAGTAATACGTCCCGAAATGCGTGCTAATTTATGATACATCCACAATTAAATTAAGCCAAAAAATAGAACACAACCATCTAAAAAAGAACAGCTTACTTTAAAAAATAAGCAAAATGGTCACATAAGTAGTGAGCATTTAGATGTTTGGATAAACTTATATATTTTTTTCAATATTAAAAACGAGATTAATAGCAAAAGTTGACAAAATTTAAATCCACTAAATGACTTGTAAAAATGTAACAGACATTCATTAAAACTCTGAATTCTTCCAAAACAAGACTGGAAATTGTTAAAGACATTTTCTTGTAAGTTTTCATGGTCTTATTCACGAACGTACCTGTTGATAAATATTCGATAACACAAGGACCGGTAAATGTTAGTCCGGACATCAATTTATATTCCTACCAATGTTTTGTTGTTTGTAAAGTTTCTCTTCTATTTTGCGTAGAATATACGCAACAAATATTTTGATCATGAAGAACTTCGATTCTCTCTTAAATCTGCTTTTCAGTGAGCCAAATTGAGTTGAGTGAGCCAATAAGACCCGCAAATGGCAGAATGGTGACCAATATATAATGTTTTGAAAATATTTGTTTTTTGCTATGATGGGGCTTACCGAACAGGTTTCAGTTACTTATTTTTACGAATTTTTATAACAATTTTTCTTCAAATTTCCGAAAATAGTTTATCGGTCACTGTTCACTTTGTATAGTCTTATTGACTATCTAAACGACAAAAAATCACTTATTTCAAACTTGCCTTTCCAATCGAAAAGTCTAACAAATCTGCCTTACAAATCACCAAAGCAACTTCCAAACTTTCTTCAACGATCCTCTGAAGTTGATCGCGATAGTACCATAAACTTTGGGAATCCATGATTCGAACTTGACCAATAACACTGCAAAAGTGTCTGTATGCAAATCGCAAATTATTCAATCGAACCATTGGAAATAATGGTACTGTTCCCAGGATAGGAAGGATTAAACTGAGCACGTCATCATATTGTGTCAGTGACGGAGAAATATTCATATTTGTAATTTTTGCTAACTACATTTTGCTCGGACATAAAAATGTTGTTTTTAACTTTATTGGTCTTCAGGCTTCCAATTTTGTAAGAAAGTTAATTGCATAAGTTTCCAACCAAATTGTGTGGAAGCAAAAGTTTTCTGATCGAAGCCTACTAAACGGTTTCTAAAATAAAAAATATTAAAACTCCCAAATTTAAATTTAACCTAAACCTAGAAAAACTAAATGCAGGGAATAGCAAACTATCTCCTAATTGACTCTTTACTGTTTGCTTCATAGTTCGAAATTGAAGTATTCATAGTCAAAATCCCATCAAAATTTAGGTTTTTTTTTTAAAATCAGACACATAAACTAAATTAGAAAATACTGAGAAAATCAAATGCATTCCGCCTATGCACTTTTCTTATCGCTTCCATACCTGGACCGATAAAATATAACGTATGATCATAACATTACTGGAAGCAAGCTATAACATTGATAAAAAAGCAGTTAAAGTATCGATGTTCATACTTCTTCAATGAATAACGCAGATATTAACTGTTAGATATTTCATTCATAATGTTTTGCCCATGTTCATTAATTTACATATTATAATTAACACATCACTAACATTTAATTAATTTTATTGGATAACAGTTATTTATTCACAAAACAACCAAATCACAAGTTCACTTTCACTATTTAATAATATTTGGCATTAATGCCGAAGTTATTGTCATGTTTTTCTTTTTGTAATTTTTCATTAACACTCTAGTAAATATACACATATGGTAATTGATAGGACCAAGTTCTTATCTACTGTTTTAGTAATAGAAAATAGCAAGACATTTTTTTTCACTACAATGGAATTATTTTATGCCTCTGCACCAGCATAGTTGAGTACGAATTTAACTACTAAATACTATTTCTTTATTTGTCCAATATCACTCGGTACTTAAGTTGCTACAAGACCTGTGCTGATCTTCTAATAGAAATAAAACAATGAACTTAATGTAGACCTATGCTAGTACCTAATAAATGATACATATTTGTCATACTAAAATGCCCATTAATATGTTAGATATGCATAGTGTTTTGTAAAGAATCCAGAAATAAGTAGGTAATTCTTAAATTTATTATGACCAGTTTTAATATAACAAAACATAGAAAGTATGCTATCACTTACTCGTTTGGGAACAGCTTAATTATTAACAGTCTCAATATCAGATGTGCTACAGAATCTGCATTGATTTTTTATTCGGCTTATAATCTATTTCTTCCTAAATTTAGCCCACATAAATTCTACAAGGACTAATGAGATTACATTGGAATGGGAACATTACTTTTCAATTAATTACATTTAATACATAAGGTCAGTTAGTGCCTATTTTATAACATATTATTTAATATTTGTGCATCTATATGTATCACATACTTTATGCTCTATAAGATTTTCAGGACATTTCTTACCTCCCTATAAATTATTGTCCCCAATATTATTTAAGTCTACGTAGATTTTTTATCGAAAAAATGTCATTAATAGAATTATTATTAGACCATATTTAAATAATTCTGGAAAAAGATGTTATTGAGAAAATAAATAAAAGTTCATTAGCCGAAGAATCGTTGAACGCATTAAAGATTTTCTAATACACGAAACAATTACTTTATTTAACGAAGACAATAGTTTTCGTTATCAAAAAGTTTCCCCAATGTGCGATGAAAATCTAGCTTATAAATTCTGGCGAACATTAAAAGATTTTCGTCGGTTCTTTTCGAAGAAAACGAGACTGAAATAGTGAAATTGACTAAAAATTTTCCAAAAGGTATTGCCGCTTATTTAAGTTAATAACATTTGTGACTAACAAATTTGTCAATTTTAGAAAGTCATAGCGAAATAAAAGAGACTTCAAACTATAAAGGCTGTTAATTTGAAAATATGAAGCTAATTATAATGCTTGTAAAATAATATAATTAAACATATGCAATTTAATCAAATAAAAGTTATGTATTATTATAGACCATTTTTAATGGCTAATAAACATTCAGAGCTTTAACCAAAATTGTAAAATTTATTGTTTAGTTATTATTGATATTATAGTTTGATAGAGACAAAATACATTTTTTAAACAACAACTACATATGTACATTTTTTACTTTATAGTCGAGTAATTGAGGTTTTGACAAGGATCTACCAATAATTTTTACCACTCGTTACCTAATAACAATATTTATTTCATATTTTTAAACCCCAATTAGTGATTTTTTCTTGTGTTTCTAAAACCGTGCTCGATTGATACTTCAACTTTATGATTTTCGTACTTGTAAACATTCTCAAAAAAGATGGAAAAGTAATTTATATTGTATTTTTTTCATCTGTTCACCTGTGGTGGTGGTTTCCAGATTTAATTTCGGGGGTTTATAGAGTTTCATTGAGCCTCTTTGCATATTCTGGGATTTTATAGGTACGGATAGATGGATTCGTTTGTACATCATTTTTGAGATTGATTTCTGCTAACCACGATTTTTAGGCCCGAGATTAAAATCGCTAATAAACGAAAGTTCATGTGGCAGTTAATAAGTAATGTGTATACAAATAATTGTTGTATAAACTGAATTACATCAATTTCTCTTAACTTATTATTGTCTTGTTTATTATCTTGTATTCATTCAGTCCATAAACACGGAGGATAGAAGTACAATTGCGGTCCTTTTAATCGCTCTTAAATAAACTACTCGAATCAGTTTTAACTTTTGCTGCAGTCAACTGATTATCAAGTTATTTGCAAGTATTTTAAACATGTTCTGGAAATTATTATACTGAAAAAAGGTTTTACAAACCCGAATAAGAAGACCACAAACGTACTTCCTTGCAGATATTGGGAATGTTTCTTATGAACTACATTGCAAGAACTGAGACTAGATACTTTCCAGGCAGTTTTTCTAGAACATAATGCCTCTAAAGTTACGTCTGCTGTTCTAAGGCAGTAACTACTACTTTACGACACTAACAATTATTATGAATAAATCATTGCTGAAAGCTAGTAAATGAATACTATATTGGTTTAAAAATATTTCGCATGCCTATCAAATATAAAGTAAACGAGACGACTGAAACAACCAAACGGAAAAGCTTTCATTGTTCTTATCTATCTTAATATAATTATTACGAATATTCAAGCTTGTAAATAACGTTATAAACCAGACGGAAACATTAAGATTCTTAGGGCGGCTTGGAATTCAATTTTGAAAGATATGTAACGTATTACGGATTGATATTTTCACTTGCCCTGTCCTCTTAAGGAAAGCTAACGTTGCCTATACAAAATCATTGTTTTTTTTTCGGTTTGGAACAGCGCTTGTAATGTAGATTTTAGTCAAAATTTCACGAAAACATGTGAAAAAAATATTCATAAGTCAGATGTATTTCTTTGAACAAATCTAATAATAAATGGAGAAAAAATTGAATCGACTTTACTGCGCTGAGATATAGGTAACCATTTATTCAAATATTAGTTTCAATATATTAAAATAATGTTATCTCTTAGTAGAAAAATTTGATATTTTTTTCATTCATTTAACATTACTAATTCCTTCTGCTCTTCGCAATAGGACTTACAATATTTATTTTATTTTTATCTGGTGAGAAATTGAGCTTACTTTAAACTTTTCCACCTCCTAAACTTACACCTTCAAGACGAAAACAAAAGTTTATATTTTTTGATTTTACAGCATGTGCCTGAGGTACCCTAGCTAGGACAGAGACGCCAGCTGCATATCGAGAAATATTCTTTTTACATGCGTAAATGTGATTTTTTGGATCTTAACAGACATCAGTGCGGCGTTATTCTTGGTTGATTCAACAGCCTGTACTTGAAAAATTAATCTATATTTACACATATTTTCTATGCTGGCATAATATTTGATTTTTTCACATATTTAGTAATAAAAGGAGGATGCCTAGAGAAAATATAATAATAGTTCTAGTAAATAGGGCAAAGCAACTGATCAGATTCAATCCTTGAAAACTACTTGATGTCGGTTGCAAACTAGTTTTATCCTTCAGCATTTTATGTGTCAATAGATATGAAGTTCTTCAAATAAACCCTTATTCTTTAACCGGTTACATCAATTTATTTTCCTTAATTTTTTAGACAACTTATGCCTTTAATCTTACCATTTTGCAATTTTGCAAGGACTACAGGACGTATAGTTTTATTTATTTGCAACGTTTTTTTTTTATTTTATTTTAAAATACCGTCGGAAAAATAATGTTAGTTTGACAAATAGTTTCACAAATTTTACCCGCCACTTGTTTGAAAGTTTGTGCAGTCTAACTTGTGTTTCCGTAAGTGTTTTTTTAGATAGAATAAAATATTTTCGATACACCCAATTCGAACTAAAATCTACATTTCAAAGTATCCGAAAAGTAATAAGTTCCAAATGCATAGGAAAATGTTACTCTACGAACCAGGCCGATATGTTACATAAAATCAATCGAATTCGTTCTGTACATTATATCTATACAGTTAAATTCTCGGCCTATATTGACACGTTTTTTTTTTCTTGAATGGAAACAAATGAATTGATGGAAAACCATAGCGAAAAAAAGTACAAAGCACATTTGTGCGTATACCACAACTGTTACATCATCACATTTTTAATCGTCATCTATAACGTCATCATAAGAATGATATGTAGGGCAACAGAGTCCTTCAGAGCCATCTGCTCGGATACAGAAGAGCAAAGTTTCTGCCGTAGTAATTTCATGAGGCATTATGCCATGAAAGTCTTTCAAGTCGCTTGCCGGAAACCAAGCTTTCTCGTTGTCGTCGATCAAAACGTAACCGAAACATCTAAGACAACATATATTTGTAAGAATGGCAGAAGTATTGGCTATAAACATGGTCAGTATTAATAAGATGCCATCAAAAATAATCTTAATACTATAAGCCAACTAAAGTCTGAGTAATTTTCGTTAGGAAAACTTATTGAAAATTTCGCATTATTATTGCATCCAACAGAAGTGCAGATTTTTGCAAGCACATTTTTAATATTAAAAGATTTCTACCACTTTTCTTTTTCTTGATTGCATTTATTTATTAGGTCTTTATCGCCTTCCTTTCTAATAACATTATATTTTAATAAAAATAATATTTACCATTAATCGAGCTGTATTTACAGTAATAATTACCTGGCAATTGCTACTCCAGGAATCCACAAAATTGACACCAGTATCAAACTGCATATGAGAAAAATGGCCCACATTGGCCAAGGGTGTTTTTCTGTAATGCCCTTTTCGGACACCCAAGCATCATAACCCGACCCTTCAACGGCAATTTCAATAAAACTGGCCGCTAAAATTGATATCATAGCCAATGGAGACAGGTACTTCCAGCATATCAACCAATATAGGCCTGGTCTCGATCCAGTCATCATTTCGATATCGTCTGCAAATCTGGAAATGTTCGTATCCCAAAAACAAAAGTTATAGTAAATTGCCAAATATTTAAAATGTGTTTTGCAAAAATTGCGAAATGGTTAAAGATTATCCACTTAAAACGTTAAATCTAAACGAATTCTTTAAATTTATGGGAATCTTTTCATTTCAATTTTGTCAGAATGAGAATTGTAGGATGCTCAAATACATTCACAACTTAGGCGGTAGTATGGGGCCCCTTTTGCTTCACTGAGCATCTCTCAAAATATTGCAAAAATAAAAAACCAGACGGTCCACCTAAATATGGAAGATGTGTTTATCCAATGGAAGGTGCTTTGAGTAAAATTTATTGCTGTGATCCGTACACCATCATTATTTTCCAAATATGCGAAATTTATTTCAACCTTCTCTTTTTTGGTATAACTACTAAATACTTATTTGATTACTTCTGATAAATGTAAATTTTGCATTAAATTTAACGGAAAACGCAATCAACTTCTTGCAAATGCTTCTACTAGTTAAGACCTTAGCTCAAATGATCCTCTTGTGAAGCTTCCATTGGAATTTACACCTGTTTATATTGCTACTTACCTTTTCAAGCCATATACATACGAAACGCCGATACATTCAAAGAAAGCGATAATCAGTAACGGGAAATTTCCACTGAAGTTATCAAACAATACAAAGACATAACTTCCGGCTCCATGTGCGAAGCTCATCGATATGATACAACATATCAGGCACAGAACTCCAGTAAGAATTTCTTTGGGTAAGTTCGGGAACAATTTCATATCGACTATCGATGTTACGACTCCTTCCAATGTGCCGAATTGTGAATCGATACCCAAAGTGAACAGCATGAGAAAGAATAGGATGGACCAGAATTGTGCTCCTGGAAATTGATTTATTGCTTCGGTGAATATTATGAATGCCAGGCCGGTACCCGAGGCGGACTGAAAAGATCAAATTGGTTTTAGTATAAAATGATTAATGGCGGAAAAGCTAAAAGTTTTATATCTTTGGAAAAATAGCTCGCATGGTTCTTAACAGGGCCTTCAGAGTATCGGGAGATAAATTTAACTATAATTAAACTGATTTATGCAAAAAGCTATTGAATGGCTGCCATTGTCCGATAAATTTTATTTTTTAGGAATTCGCTGAGTCATTATCAACTTCTGTTATCACTTTAGTGAAAGTTAATGCACATTTTATCCGTTGCAATTAAGGGAAATAATTGCAGTGTAGACAATCGGGCCTTAAGTGCAGATTAGTCCCTAACTGTTCTAAACATCATTGAATAATATTTGCGGCAGCTAAAAGTATGTAAATCGGTTTAATTTCAGATGAGAATAGGTTTATACATAATCTGTGTCGTTTTTTGAATGCACTCTGCCGACTACAACGAAGCGATAATCCCACGAATTTGAAGCACCCTGTACTTTATTTTCAGCCAAAGTAGTTCGCATCCTACAAACGGTTGATTATTTTATACAGATTTGACGATCTGAACACAGTTTGAATCTTTCGAGTAAATATCTCGATCAATCTTTCAACATATTAAGCTTTCATACACACTATAAGGCTTATATGTAATTACGTATAATGCAAACAAAAAATACGTAATATGTGCGGATTTTATTTCCCGTGTATGAATGCGATGTGCATTTCTATTCATACGGTTGTCGTAGTTGTATTGGAAGGTTTATTGAATGCCTGTATTCTGTGCAGGCTTAAGAACTGACAGGATGCAGCAAAATATTTCTTCATCCAGCCAATGAAATTCAGCAAGTAAAAATACAACTGCTGCTAAATGCTCAAACGCATAACAATGAATAGCAAAGGCAAAAATAAGGCTTTGAGGTACCTTTAAACGTCAAGCTTCTGAATAATGTTATTCAAATCGACTCACGTTATCGAGTTCCTTTTGCAAATCGCACACCTGTAGAACGGGCACGATAATGCTTTTTAGGGCTCCATTTTCATCCGAAAAATTGAATATCGATCCAGCTTCAGGCAGAATGAGTTGAGGGTCGTAATTTTCTCCGAGTAGACTGCTAAGGGTCTTGTTCTTATCATCCAAGCACTTTTCGTAGGTCATAGTGGCCTTGAAGCCGATGATGGAAAAAACTACGATACCCGCAAACATGGACGTAAAGCAGTTGGTCATAGACACCATTATTGCATCTCGATAGCAGTTGTTGTTTACCTGGAAAAAATGTTTTACGTTATCAAACTTTTGAATCCGTTTGATTAATGCGTGAAAACTTACTGGATTATAGGACGAAAATGCAATTAATCCGCCAAAAGCCAGTCCAAGCGAAAAGAAAATCTGAGTTCCGGCCTCCAGCCAGACTACGGGATCCAAGATAATGTGCCAGGATGGCGTGAATAAATGTCGCAGTCCATCCGAAGCGCCCTTTAACGTAATACCCCGGAAAAAGAAAATAATAAGAACTATATAAGGGAAAGTGGCCGTAACGTAAACCACTTTTCCCGATGATGCGATCCCCTTTATCATGCACAAGTAGACAAGTATCCAAGCTACGACTAGGGCGAGGGCAATTTTCCAGTTGAAGGCCTCTGGTGTATTTACGTCTTCCGATATCATTAAAGTTGTTCTGTACCAGAAGAATTGAGTAGGACTGCTGGCCTGCAAAACTCAAACTTTCTAATATGCAGATTATTCTACTGGTCCTGAATGATCGCGATTAATATTAAAAAATTACTATCCTGCAAACCGCAAATACTGTATCAATAAAACCCTGAATGCTAAGGTAAAAGTACCCATACGTAAAGTGTATCTTTTAAAATTGTAGAAGCGGAATATTGAATCTATTGAATTCGGAGCAAATGTTTTGCATATTTGAATTCGACAAAGTATATATAAAGCTAATGTTTCATAATTTATTAATGAACTTGTTTCTTTCATTTTTCACACCTTTTGAATAAGATAAGCAAAATAATTAACAAAACGGCAAGATAAAATTTGTAAATTATATTAACAGCTAGTCTAAGTTTGTCGTAAGATTCTCACTACCTAGACGTTTCTGTTACTTTTTATGAAAGGATTCGTTATTTATATATATAGTAGATACTCATTAATTCGTTAGTTATCTTATTAAAGCACTCGCCAAAAAAGACGTGAATTGTGTTCATAAAAGAAATTCGACTAAAGTTGAGTAGGAAAGCTCAGTCAGTATGTACTCGCCTCAAGTATTTAGGGCTTATCTGAAAATTTTTATTGACCATTTTATGCACATTCTTCTCCCAACTTTTGAAAAAATTGTAATTCTGTTTCATGAAAACTTAAAATTTTGATTATTCCTAATGGGACAAAGACTTAGATTATTCCTAAGACACAAAGTTGCGTGCTCACGTAAGTATATTCTTTTTGCAATTGCTAGTTATAAGTTGTCGAATAGATAAAAAAAAATACTTAAACTACTGTTTTATGCATATCAGCATCATTAGAAACTCACTAGTTGGAGTTGGTAGTTTTGGGAATTTCAGGTACTGCTTGCAATAATTAATAAACTACTCTCGATATACATAGTGAATTTGCAAAATTTGTTACTCATTCGCTGCTAAAATATCAATTGCTTGCCTATCAATTTGTACGCTAAATGTATTGGAATCAAATACCCGAAATATTGAGCTCGTGCTTCCAACTCCTCGAACTATAGCAAGAAGTTTAAATTACAGCATAAACTTGGCATCTATTAACTAACTTTCGGTTAAAACATTCTAATCAATTAAGAGGATGAAAGTTCGGTATGGTTGAGTATATGACTGATCAATGTCTTCCTCTATGGAAACTATTTGATGTGGACTCAGATTTATCCAAGGCATCAACAGCTCAATCGAAACTTTAGATGGTACTGTTATGTAATTGTGTAAACATCACTTTGTTACACATTTTTGCATAAAGCAGCAACAAAATATGATTTGGAAAACGACCAACATAAAAATTAAACGAAATGAAATCTTACGGAAAAATCATCATAAATAAATAAAAATGTTTGCCCAAAACCAACCAGAAGAAAGAAAAGTTTTCTGTCCAACCAAAAGCGTGTGGCAATTTTTTTTGGATAATGGTATGGTAAATATTAATCGAAAATTATTAAATCATCCACAATATGATAGTTTTTCATTTTGTTTCCGTGTCCTATTCCTTTGTTGATTATAATGATGATTGAATATGACTTGCTCTAGCTAATAAATTAAATTTTGACTTAAACTGTTCAAAGCGACAAAAGCAAGTTTTCGACATATTAGAAATGTTTTATGGTGGGTTTTTATATATACTATCGAAATTTTGTTGAATGTAAGGCTACTCGTTACATAAATTCATTGACCAGCTGCTTATAAAGAAGCTTCAAGTTACAGAATAAATTTACATGTAAAATGCCTCCGAAATCATTTTTTCCAATCACTGAAATTTTCAACAAAATTGCTCTACATCCACATTAGTGACGTGCAAATCATTACCTGAATAATTAAGAAACTTAAATAACTAGACAATCATCTATTCAATATAGAATGGATCGTAACAAGTGTTTTCACCACTAGTTTGTAAAATTTCGGAAACTTTGCTTGCATTTGTCGAAATGTTAACAGCGCTCGTATCAGCATGAGAACAGTTAAGTTTGCAAATTAAAAAGTTTCATAATTTACAACCCGAATATTAAACGCCTTGTTATTTTCTTAAAAAATATGTACAATTTAAACCGAATTTTACTTGCAGACTTGGTAGTGGAAAAATACTGCAAGTTCAAAGTATTTCCTTAAAAGTTTCTTGTGAAGTCCAAAATATAATTGCAAAATAAATCAATTAATCAGCACTACGTTAAGGTACTGAAAATATGAAAACAAAACCTTGCATTCCAGGTTGGATTGCTTCGGCCTACACCGGCAAAATTGCATTTTAATCAAGGCATCTGTTAACAAACTTACAGCTCAAATATTCTGATCAATTAGGAGGGTGAGAGTTTCGTTCAGTTCAGCTTCGTATTTTAAACAGTAATAAACCGTCCGAAGTTTACTTAAGCAAACTTCCATGTTTAGGATCGCCTGATTTTAAAGCATTTTCATTTTACGTCCCTAAATGTTTCGACTTTCTTTGAAAGTAAAATCTTTGGCTTTTCGCCAATATTTATTTAGCAGAATGTTTAAGAACGGTGTGATCAGCTTTTCCTAATGAATTTTTAATTTGTGGGTCATGTAAAATCCGAACCGATCATTATTTAGACTTCGTATACGCGCTGGCTTTGCCTGCGAAATACTGTCGCAAATTTAATGAAGATTTGTATTGAATAACAAATGATAGTTACATTACATTTACATGGTACATTTATGAAACATTGAAAAAGTAACTGAATATATCAAGATGTTTTATATCTATTTACTCGTTGCTCTAAAAATTGAGTGTGCATGTACCTTTTGGAAGACAAATTGAGCAAAATTTTAATCGACTTAATTAAATTTTAATGCGATTTTGTGCAAAAATCATTATTCTACATTTTACTTACCACGCATTCCGTTTCTTGCGTATATGAACCATTCGGAAAATACACGTTGGGGCATTCTGCCCAAGGCAATTGAGATTGGAAACTTTGTAAAAAGTAGAACAGGCACCAGGCTATGATCGTGTTATAATACAGAGCAACATTGAAGGATACCACAGCACTGCTGATACCAATTCCTTCAAATGAGCAATATTTTCTTTACCAAGACTCTAGACACAACTGATTAAAATTACCTGCTAAAAACGGAGATACTTGATTCCAAACGCCGATAGCACCTTTTCGTAGCCTTTGCCCGATAGCTAGTTCTAAGTAAAAGATGGGTATACCTTCAATTGCCAACATCACAAAGTAGGGAATCAGGAATGCGCCACCTCCATTTTTTTGCGCTAGATATGGAAATCTCCATACGTTTCCCAAACCTACCGCATATCCCACGGTTGCCAGAAGAAATGTTAGCTTGCTGTCCCAAGATTCTCTGTCTTCCTCTTCACAATCAGGCTTAAAAATACCTTTACCATCCTGGAGAATTACATTTTGCTTAAGTGATTTTAATATAACAGTTATGTGAAGAAGTTCTTTGTAGATGAAACTTTAGAAAAGAGGAATACTAAGAACACTTTAATAAAGGCTTGTTGCAAGCAACGTTATGAAACGCACGCAATACAAATAAACGTGTATATCTGCATGAGAAATGAGACCTAACACATATTGCAAGCTCAGGTGAGGAAACAGCAGCCGTCGTATTAAAATCCTTTACTGTGGCCCGAAAATGAGCTGCTAATTTCCAGTTCGTGCTTACCTGCGACCCTCTTTTGCTGCTACACGTCGACTTAATTTTAGTGCCCGGGCTAGTGTCTTCGAAGGCAATATTCGTCGCACCATATGCACTGGAGCTTCCATTTTCAATAGGCACTAATCGTCCTTTCATTTCTTTCAATTCCAACCGATCTATGGATCTCTGGCTGTGCAGATCCCGAGAGCTTTGCCGCCGGACAAAGTGAGCAGTATTTGCCATTCTGGACTGAGGAACTAAACTGGACTAAGTGTGTCAGTGTGTCCTATATAATATATTGTCCTGATGGAATCATTTTGATCTAAAATAAATGCCCAAATTGCAATCGAAACAATAAACCGTAATTTGATTGATATCAGTTTGAAGAGCAACAACAATTGGAGGCTTGAAATAGAATGTGGCCTGCAAATTATTAAAATTTCACTTAAAGTTTTCAACTGATATAAATTTAACAAGCACCAGTATAAATGGACTTAAAAGGACGCCCAAGTTAATGGCCCTGCTGCATATGCAGTAGCTACTGCCCATTTTGTTTTAGACCCAACAGTAAATACGTTACAGAACATAGACTATAAATTTTATAAAAACCAGAAACTGCAGCCAGAATTTATGAAAGAAGGCTCGCATGCTAAATACTGTACAAAATAATAAACCCACTAAAGAGTTGCTGGAGATAACAGAAAAGAGCTCTTATAAAGATTGGTGGAAAGCACTTTTGTACCGAAAAAGGGGTTCAAATATAAGAACAATATACCAAACAGGAAATATTAACGAACGTGTGTTGAGGAGGAAAAAATACAACGCTCAAATACGCAAAATGAACGCTAGAAGACTAAATAGAATACCACGCCGGGATAACCTGAACGAAAACTAGAGAATACGTAGACGAAGAAAAAGCACATGTTTAATCTAAAGATGAAGAGGAACTGACTCATTTAATTTTTATAGAAAGGGTGCTCTATACAGGATGTGTGGTACAAGAACTGGCTCAAAAGAAATCTATCTGACACACTTCAGTAACAGCAATTATTCAGTTTCTTGATACAAAAACTATTTTCCAGAACTTTTCATTTGGTCGCTGGAATCTTAGCTAACTATTTTTACATTTTGATGCTCTGTAAAATTTTGTGGTTTTGATACTTTTTGCGCCAAAAAATTATTGCTGTTTTCTTGCTTGCTCTCTTGCTCTTAAGAGTTTCAGACACTAACTACAAATGTCGTAGTAAGCCATAATGTTTTTTTTATAACAAATTAACTGTGAGACGTTTTATAATTATTAACTGACCGATACGATCAGAGTGTTAGTTTTAAGCCGGTCGTCCATTGGAAGCGTTTTTGTCTGAATTGCGCTTAATTGGTAGGCGAAAACTTTTTTTTTCGCAATAACTATGAGTGTAACAATATTTTACAAAGAGCAAAAAAATGTCCAAAAAGCACTAGTGCATCAACCTAAACAAATCAGTTGAATCCAGCCACGAAATAAGAAGTTCTGATGCTTTTGTATCAAGATACTCAATAAATCACAACTTGCTCAAAGCGGATGAACTTGGTTCCATCATCAAAGTATGAATCTGATATAAGAATGAATTTTCAACGAGTTTCAATTTTCAATAAATTCCTTCGTATCATTCTCCTGATATTTCAACAAACATTATTTTGTTAAACTGCGTTGACGACCAACAGCAGAGGAGTCTGAGATTGGTCTTAATAAGAGTTAGAGCAGATCGTCTTCTCTTCAGCCAAAGAATGTACATTCTTTGATCCAGTACCCTTTAAATCCTGTACATACCGGACACCCTGTAGATTAGTATTATAATCCTATTCAGATTAAAAATTACATAAATCACAGTAACATTGGTACAATTCCAAACAGTGAACATTCAATCATTCATAATTGATCGTTGCAATGAATAATATACGTTTCATTTGATTTGTTTCGTGGACTCCACAACGGATTATTGGAAAACGTTCAAATGAGTTTGCTGATTATTTCGGTTCATTCGAACATTAAAGTATATGGGTAAGGCCCAACACCAATTGTGAAGGTTTGAACATATAAATTCGCGTTGCACAGTTCTTTATCGAAAATTGCAGTAAAAATTCTGTGATTTTCAGTTCTTCCTGCATGACCTCAGAATAAAACCACAAATCTGCCTCGATACTCGATAAAAAACTCTGGATTAGCGTCAATTCAAAAATAATTACGCAAAGACATTTTTGAGTCGTTTTATTAAATAATTAATGGTTCATAAAATATTTTGCAACCAATTCACTTAACAAAAATTGCATGATTTACGTACATTAGCGCTTCTAAATTGATGTGCCTGAAAATATAGATTCGCCTATACAAGTTTGGTGATTGAAACCCAGCGGATCGAATCCATCTAGAAATGGAAATTCACCGCAGTTTCAAAAAGTAATGTTGGTATAAATTGGTTAAATAATTACTTTGATGTTTCCTACAGCCACGAGTGGTTGTTCGTGGTTAGAAGCCTACGTTGTGGCCGTGTAGATTCGATCTAAAATTAGGATGGTGGCGGCATTGGAACAGCAATATATAACATTATTCTTACTTTTTGCAGCTGTTTATGGTAACATTGACCTTAATGTTGAGTCGCTGGAGATGCTATAAAATATAGTTGCATCTGAATTTTGAAATTTTGTGACTGAATAAAGCAATATAACATATTTGGTTTTTTGTGTATGCTACACATTACTCACAATGCGGGTCGAGCTTATATTTGTGGTCTTTCTTGAAAGTGTAAAGGTCCGAACCAGTCTGTTCATTCTAATAAGCAGGATAAAAATGAAATTTGTATACTTTATGTCACAGGTCAATTACTGAGAGCCGAATTGGATTCTCCATTATTTAATAATTAAAAGAACAATAGAAGTAATTTCTACGAATCTATTAACTCTGCACATTTTCCCCAAAACATTTGCTTCAACATGAAACTGTGGCATCAGATCGCAGATTTTTCTCATTCACCTCAAAGATGCATTTTTTGCGTATTCCACGTCACTATTTCCGTGAATTTTAATACCTTTTACACTACCAAAGTTTGAACTAAATATTGTTTTTTTCGAATTTTCGGTCTCAAAATGTAATCAACTCTAGTGCTCTTAGTTTATAAGTTTCTTGGGCCATTCTTGACTAGTACTTCTACTATTTTTAGTTGGATCCATTGGAACGATAATTTCAGGAGGTTACCAGTAAATTACTTTCTGTACAGTTGTTAATTGTTCTTTATTGATTTATTTGTATTCTCTAATTGAGTTAGTTACTACTGCGAGGATACACTAAACTGCGCCGCAAACTTATAGCTTAAATATTCCCTAATTTTTGACTGTGAATATTTTCTACGTCGGTGATCCGATTTGAACATTTTGTTTAAATCAAATTATTGCTCTATTTTTGGAGACAAATATAATTTTAGGAGAGGCCAAAATTAAATAAACATATTGAACAGTGTTCAAAAACTGTCATGTTTTCTTGGTCAATATTTGCATCTTTCTGCTAGCAATACAGAGTAGCCCAGAGAGAAAAAAGTATCGGATCTTTTTTAATAGTTTCTTTATCTGGAGCCATTCGAGCGAGTTAAATTCTTCAATAAAGGGAAAGCCTTTTAAAAAAAGATTTATTTTCAGAACGACGAGTTACAGCAATAGTGTACTTGTGACAACTGATAACTTATAACTGAACTTATGCTAAGATTGCAAGTGGTACTTATAAACTAAAGCTGCTGAATTGGTGCAACTAAGCATTTACTTCGCTGACCAATTAGTTACAGGGTTTATAACTAGCGATATTCACTTTTCTATGACCAATGACATTTTCCGCGCCAAATTTGGTTATACTTTTTTTTATTTGCGCAGAAAATGTCAAGCAAAAAGCGTGTGCGAGCAAGATTTTAAGAGAAAAATATATTCTTGTTTTCACGTCTCAGGATATTGACAGCTCTTAGCTTGTAACTCGATGTTGTTAGCACACCCTTCTTTGGAATTAAGAAATAAATTTGAAGAGAAAAATCGGACCGGTCACAGTAAAAAACTGTCCGGTATTGTCTGCAGACGGATTTCAACTTTGACCGAGAAAAACACGACGCTATTTAAACATCCTGTACAATATGTTTATTACATTTGTTTTTGCTTATCTTCTCACCTAAATTTTGCCCAAGAATATAGCTATCAGTCGATAATAAAAATATCCAAATAGTATTACCGAGCGGGAAAATATTTACACTCAAAAGTTAGGGAATATTTAAGCTATCCGTTTAATTTGCAGTAGGGTGTATTTGATCCTACTTAATGTACACATATTTTTTGGCTGAAAAAAAGCAAGCTCTGTAAGTACAGCCAAATCACGTCATTACAGACCGTAAAAATAGCTTGTCGTATGTTTTTTTGTTATCATGTTTCATTCAGTATTTCCTCAGAAGAACACTATTTTTGGTTTTTCGATTATTCTTGAAGAAGTTTAACTAACTCTTGGATGTTTAAATTTTAGCATCTTTCTCCGTATGTTGTTTCAAAGCGTTAAGTGACAAGCAAGTTAATTGTATGTACCCCTCACAACTTAAACTCTGATGATTGATTGATCGAAAACCCTAGAATGGAATTTAATAAACTTTACACCCCTTGAATACTAAGTTTTTTGTATGGTTAAGAATAATTTGGAGAATTTCCTTCAATTGATATATATTGTATATAGCAATTGTATATAGCAAGATTTGATTGTTCAGCATTTTTAAAGCAGTAGATTGTAAAAATTTACTGAAATCCTCCGATTAGTGTCTCCAGTATTGAGCGCCTCTAGTTACTTTCTCAAACCACGAAAATCTATCATCCAAATACCAGCTTAGTTGGCATACTAAAGTTTGCAAATAGGGAAGATCAATAATTTCAAATCAAAATTTGTCTATATCCTGCTGGAAGAAACAGAGAAAATCAACTGAAGAATGTGGATATTTGGAGCATTAACTTAGAGCATTTTCTTTAGTTTTGGACCGAAAAATGTTTATTTTATTACTTTAGTACATCCTAAAGTTAGTACCTCTTCATCAACAGGGACAAAACTTAACAAAAAGAAAGCATTTATTTAAAACTGTGAAAATTTAGTTTCTATAAGAAGCTGCCCCACAACTTTGCTTAGACCTTCACATGCAAATTTTCGGACTTTTACAAATCTGGGTATAAATAGATTATTATTAAATGTGGCCATCGATGCGGATGCATCTACTTCAATCAATCCAGGCAACATCGTATTTTTCATTGCGGTATATGCTTACGTCAACCCCATTATTTTAATATCGCATTCTGCCTCTTATTAATACTGCAATAATTCTTGCAAATTTTTTAAAGTAATTTAGTTCAAGTTTAGGGAGACAAGCCAATTTGACCGAAAATACTATCGACTGTTAAAGGCCAATAGTGATTGGAAATTTTCATTGCAGACCTGCAATCTCTTCACGCTACAAGTGCAAATTATAACATAAACATTTGCATTTTCTTTTAATCGAGAGTACGTTGTGTCTAGAAAATATGAGGTGGCTGCAGGATTGTACTAAGGGATTCTCTAAAGATTTAACAAAATATTTGTTTTCCAAAAGTTTTTTTCGAATGCTTTGTAGGGTCTATTGGAATTGATGATTTAATCTCTAAATATCCACTTTTCAGAATAATTTGAAATTTTTACCCTCCCATAGAAATAATACAGCAAGCAATATTTTGATCAGTTTAGAGTCGTGCTACCGATAGTTTACAACTTAGCAAATTTAATTCAAATTGCAAGTTTAAAGTTTCGTCACGTAGTATTTTTAAAGTTACACATACTTTGGAAGAGACATTATATAAAAAATCAGAAGTTTTTTGGAATCTTCCACGTATTGCAGCTGGTCAACTGTGTGAACCAAATATTAAGTGAACTTTTTAGATAAGCAGTAGGAAAATTAACTTTTACTTTTTAAATCCTTGTGTGGAATGTCATTTAATACATAACGAATAAACCGTAATTTGATGAAAATATGAGTCACGAACTATTAACAAGCATGAAGCCAAACTGTTTTTTCTTCGTGCAGGTATCTAAACCACCCATCAGATCTTCCCACTTTATCATGAAACGAATGGAGTCTCCATCAATAATACGTTCGACAAAATGTGAAACCCTGGCAATATTTTAAAAGGGTTTGCTATATGATTGATGAACCGAATATTTAGCGTAGTTACGGAAAGTATCTTATGGACTAAGTGTTCCTTTTGACACAAATTTGGAATGATAAATTGGATCTCTGCCCGGCCTTGTTGTTGTTTTTACATTGACCAGAAGATCTAGTGCAACACGTTTAGATGCATGTGGACATTTTTAAGCCTCCAGGAAATGGCAAAATATCGGGGCTTCCTAATTATGTAAGAACCGTTAATGAAAAATTCCGCTTAAATTAATAAACTTTTAGAATGAAAAATGACGCGCAAAAATTCGACTATTTCTGCACAAACTTAGTTTAATAAATTATCTCATTGTTCTTGTGGCCATTCAATATATGGCTTTAATAATTATGAACATTTTGTATTGCTCTCCAAACGCACACATTTTTTACTAGCTAGATGCTCAATAATCGACTGATCGAAAAAATATATTAAACACTAACATTCACCATAAAAATTATTGCCAGTATTAGCAACAAGCGTAAACCAAAATGGGCACGATTTATTAACTTTGGTTGCTCAACTATTATTATCGAATAATTAAATAAGTCTCTGTATATAATAAGTGATTTTTCTGAATGACGATTTTTACGTACCTGTCGATTTAAAAAGAGAATTCGACGTCCCGACGTCACCCAGCACTCACACCAACTCACGCTCTCTGGTTGAATCAATAGCGACGCCGGCGCCGCGACGCTTTTCTTTTGAAGATGTATATCAATTGTAATAACATTACATATACACATAGCGATTACCTAACACATGACCGAATTTGAGACCTGAAAACAGCCAATGCACGTTGAAATGTGTGAGATCGGCATTATTTCACCATATCTTTAAGCTGCAAAAAAAAATACTCACACTTTCGTTACTACGAGAGTAAACAAATTATCTAATTTAGCTCAAATTTTATTCGAAAGCGATTTCAGGTCGCAAATATTTCTCATTCTTAAGTTGGAACTATTCTGTGTGCAATTAAGCATCAATCGCTACAGTTAAAGTAGTAAAGACAAAATGCTAATTCAACCGTTTTTGTTTCGAACGATCTAGTTCGAGAACATTTTATTAAAATCATGTTCCCAATAAAGCTTCAAACAATGCAAGTAGACAAATAATTATTATAGCCTCTTAATTTGATTTCGGATTTTTAAATATGTTTTCCTTCAACCAATAATTATTTCTGCATTTATTTTCTGTGTTAAAAAAATTATAATAAATAAATCAAAGCCCCAACTAATTCCCATCATTATCTGATTTATTATTTTTGAAACAACAGTTTTACCATAATTTATCAAAAGCTAATTTTTTTAAGAAACAATTTTTATTATTATTGACGTATTTTTTAAAAACATGGGAATAAGGTAGAAACAAGCATATAGAAATCTCTAACTTTTAATTAAATATTTACTAGCTGATTAGTCTGTAAAAATCCTACCACGGGTTCTTAGGGTGAAAACAGGATGATTTAATCTAATTATGTCTACCTAATCTAAAAGTAGAAGGTTTTCGAAATAAAAAATTCGAATGCTACTAGAGATGAGCTAAACTGTGATTTTCATATCACTGTTATAACTGTGAATGTGATTTCACTTGTGGTTGCCGTTTTCGTGATATAGCAGCGTCATAAGGTGATGGGCAACTGTGGATCACTTGCAGAAACAATTTTAAAATATTTGTAATTCATATTTTTTTAAATAATAACCAAACGAATTTTTTTTACGGGGGGCTTTAAAACCCATGGTATACTCAAGCCCCTTAAACGATAAAGATGATTTGTGGAGACGAATTGAAAATTCAGTTGATATTTTAAGGAACAACAAGAAAATGATGGCTGGGTCCATTTCAACATTTTAAGTCGAAATATTGTTTGTAAGGATGAGAACCGAAAGCACTTCACAAAATTAATCAATAAACTTCCAATAGGTTTCTCAAGAGGGAATGCCTGTACAGACTTCTATCAAGATACTGTTTTTCTCGTAAAAAATATGTGCGCAAACTAAAACCTGTCGTCATAAATAATTGTTACAGAGGGCAATAAAAAAATTGCTATTTTAAATAGGATTTACTTATCTTGACAGCGCCTTCTTCAATGTGCATAGAAAATGTAAATGGGTTCAAATTTCTCGTCCCCTAAAACCAGGTAGTAGTGTTACAAACAAACGAATTTAATTTTTTCGATTTGCTTATCTTTAATTTGTCGTCCTATATTTCCCAAATCGCCCACTTCTGGATTGAACAAATTAGGTTAAATCATTATCTCAAATCATCCCTGGAATCTGCGGGAAGATCTTGAACAGACACCCTGTATTTCGTTAAGCAAATGAGCTAGCAAATATTTAATTAAAAGTTGGAGATTTCTCTATGCTTCACACCCTGCATGTGTTTCTGCGAGTCGAGCTCCTTAGCAAGTTGTTAACCGCTAGCTCTAAAGACATTATTTGCTGGTTGATGATCGTGCAAGAAGAACAGTGTGAACAAGCACCGACAAAATATTTTGGGCCCACTGGATCGCCTATAAACTTAAGTAATACATCTAAAATTTTCAGCAATGAAGTCAACTTTGTGAATAGAGATCATTACTTTTTAATAATGTGTTTACAAAACATTTATTTTAAAACTTTTTACACGCTGAGTTTTCAATACAAATTTCCATATTGAACATACAGCGTACATTAAAAAAAGTTTACTCACTTAAAGGTAATTTTTAATTAAAAAATATTTTTGCATTTAAATTTTTATTGGTATGGTTGATTCGATTAACCCACAAACGTGAGTCCTAGATTACTTAAGCTCATTTGCATAACACGATTGAATGAAATTCAGACTCTTTAGATGTTGCACTAAACGTTTGTGTTTTTGATTTGATTCAAGAAGGTCAGTCTTAATTCTCAAAGCTTCCACTTGCTTAAAAGAGCTTTGGAAATGTTTTGTAAGTTACCCCGTCGTCGACAGTTTCAACACAATGGCTCGGAAAAGGGTTTCGTACTGTTTGCAAAGGTTTAATGCACTTTGGAAAGTATAGAGATCTTGAAATATATGTAGTAGGTTTTCACCAGAAATATAAGCGTCCAAAGTTCCAAAAACCATATTACCAGAAAAATTACCAATCAAAAATGAAGAGGATTGTTTGAATTTTGCTAGCCATATGAATGACTGACTAGTGGAATCAAAATTGGTAATAATAATAATAATTCTGTTGTGTAATAATTGTTAACTATTTGCTTGCAAATGCACCACTGGCAGAAAAAACCCATCCACGCCCTACAAGAAATTAAAATATGTGAACAAACTTCTGTTAATACTTGTTAGTAAAGTTTACACTACACTGCAGTAAAAGTTCGGCAAACAGCAAACAACATGTGTTAACCAGTACGTTGGATGCAATTTTAATAGTTTGCAACAGTTCTCTAATCTGGCTAGGAAAAGTGGGAAAAACTGCACAGACGACCTCTATCTGAAAAGCCTTGAAACCGAACGCAATCACTAGTGAGGATTCCATGGATGTAGTATATGGGGGCACGCCGATAGGTACCGTTAAAATATTCTTTACCAGCGCAAAAGTGAAATTATTGACTCAACTTAGGTTGGGCTTTCGCCAGGCTTTCTTTCAGCAGCGTTGTCACGAAGAACCGAAAATCCTTGAAACTCAATTAATCTACATTATGTATTTGCCTCAGCTACGGAACGAAAAAGCTGCCAGAATTATGGATGATTGGACACTGACCAATCATTCTGTTACAAGACATGGTTAGCATAAACTTTGATTGTTAGCTTCGATATTATCTGAATCAAGGTTTTCTATTAAATATTCATTAGCCTTTTACAGTGGAAATTTGTTGTAGAATACAAAAAATTACTTAGCAGAAAAGTTACGTTTCAAGTGGGAAAAGTTATTCTTGAAGCATACAGCTACTTTTTCATTGATTTAAAATGACTTCTTATTCAAGTAATCGGTTTACCGTGATTCTTGAGGAATATATAAATTACTTATCTTGTACTATTAATTTTGGAAATAATACCTATATTTATTGTTTTATTGCCATATAAAGATTTACCAGTAAAAGCGTTTACTAAGAAGATTGAGGGTGTATTAGTATGTAGCGCATTTTAAAACATGCAGAAATTGTTAAAATATAAATTTTAATAAACCATGTGTTATTTTGTTCCTTTCCAAGATTCCTCGTTCTTGGTATTGTCGTTTATTTGCCTAGTGGAAATTATAGAGAACAATTTTTCTTGTTTTAAATGTGTCATAAATTTAAAGTGAAATTAAATCATAAATGTATTTTATGTCCTTAATATTTACTGTACTATTTACGGTACTTAGTGTGTTTTTTGTAAATCTAGGCACTAATTATTATTTTAATCCGGTTTAATTACTTTCATGTATGTCTTTTGACCTGTGTAGACCTTAAATTAGTGAATTGATAGAGTGATTGCTATTTATAGTTTCGTTTTGCATATTAGGATTTATCCTGACATCAAACTGGCATCGTCGAGCTCCAGGTGCGCTACTTTAATTCACTGATTTGAAAAGGAGGGATTTCATTCAAACCAATTCAACAGAAGAACTGATCAGGTACTGTGTAGTTCAGTGATAGAATGTGCGATCAGATATAAAAGAAAGTTCAGCGGAAACCCAGTAAAAGATGAACGCGAAATTTGCCGCGAGTATTTCGCAAGTGAACTGCGACACCCAACCCTTACTCAACCCTTTCGTTCACCGTCTGGAATTGAATACGACATATGAAAAAATTAAAGTAAGTACGATTTTACAAAATGTGTATATCCAAATGTTCGTCTTTAGTTCTACGGAGATTATTGCGCTGTTGTGGAATAAAACAATGCTGCATTTTGTAGCTACTGCATTGCAACCTCAACAAACTGAACTCGTACTGTATTTACGTTTGAACCGTATGGCTAAAAATATATTTTTAAAACGTGCCATGTTCTTTAAGGACAAAAGCATTTGAACATTTTAGCATTTAGACATTTAGACAGTATTTCGCCCGTTTGTTTATGTGTGTCTTAATCATTCAAGCTTCTTTTCTCATGCCATGTTTTCCCTCAAAGTAAATACGCCAAAGTTTAAACTGCCCCAACTCTGCATCGAATGGAAATTGGCAATCGTAGATGGATTTAACTTGTTCGCAATTCATACTGCTCACAAGCAGAAAACTTTCTGTATTAATTACTAGATAAATATATTTTTAAAGCCAATTTTGTATGTGTATGATGTATGTTATTCGTATCATCTTCTTCAGCCTGTGAGCGCTATTGTCTCCCGACAAAAGGCTGAATAGATATACTTTGATGAGGAGTGTATTATTAAACCAATTGTTTTTAAAGTTGTAAAAAAACGAACTCTGGTTCTGGAAATTTTTTAAAAGCGTCCGAATGTCCGCAGGAGGAGGCCATAGAAAAATCTTTGCAGAGATGTGTCATACTATTTTGTGTGTTTTATCTGAATCTGAGGAATTTTCACACATTTTGGCACACCATTTYCTCAAAGTTAGAAATTTTTTTCGAAATTTCTTATTTARCACCCAGTTGAATTTTTTTAACTCAAATTTTAACTCAAAAATCAATAATTTTTCAACTGTTTTCTAAAGTATTAGGGTACTACGTACGTAGTATTGTTCTTGCAAATGATTGAAATTAATGTTTCACCTTTCATCAACGACCATCATTCGACCAACTAATTTTACTTGAAAAAATTATTAAAAATTAATCATACTTTATTTGTGCAAATTTTTATTGCACTTACAAATTAACAAAAACTCACAACAATTAATCAAACCTCCTTCTAGCACAATATTGACATTGATCTTATTAAACAGAGTCCACTTGTTGCTTGCAGATTCATTTCATCGAGTCTTTCGAGTAAYTTAACATCAAAGCTTGTAAYAYAAATGGTTTCAGTTTGTTGTGTTCCAGGACCGTTTTTCCAAGCTCAATTTATTTCCTTTATCCAGTTTTCAGAAACGTGTCCAAATTATTACCGCCTACATATTGGCTCCTCTAGTTCTGAATGTCCGATTTTTTCTACCGGTTTCAAAACCCCGAATTCCTTTCCCTTTATTTTGCTGGCCATTGGACGATAATTAAGCCTTTCACCTGGCGGCTTCTATAATCACTGTTTGTCCTCCAACAGGTTGTTCTTCTCTTTTAACACTACTGACTGAAGAGGTAAGATCTGAAAGTTCTTCAATTTAATTGCTGTTCATTTACAGTCACTGAAGTCCAAATACTTGAAATACACATCTTTCGTTTTCTGTCTAGGTAGGTATACACACGTTTCCCATAAAACTCTCTTCTGTTTCTGTGTTAAAGCATTTCTCATGCAGTAAGTTGGTGCTGGACATGCACCACATTTACTGAACAGATTTTACATTGGCACTTATAGGACGAACGAAATCAGTAGAACATTGTTAGCAATTTTCAAAAAATTAACGAAGGACTTTTTAACTTTTGGAAATTTTCAACTTCAGAATTTTTCCAAACTACCAACTACTTGTCAATTTACAATAACAATGTCAATGTTTACAAAATATCCAGCAAATTTCCGCTGAATTAAATTTTCTTTGTTTGTTTTAGTCAAGTCTTGTACGAAATTAATAATATTTTACCCATAATAATATTATATCTTCCAACAGCAAACATACAATGATTCATATACATGCATTAAATATTATTAGTTCGTTACTGTTTAATAAGATACGAAGTTACTAAATGTTTTGGCAATTAATCAAACAACTGACCGAGATAGGAAATATGCATTGTCAGTGATTCAAACATAGACTCATTTATTGATGACCCAATTAGCTTTAATGCTACTGATGACAATTATTATGTGAATGAGACTGAGGAGTCATATATATTTTAAGGGCGATAATTTAATATTAATATACACATTAATGACCGATTTTTATGCAGGAATTGACCGAATAAATATCTACTCAATACAAAATTGAACACTTTTTAATAAAAACGTATATGTCTCATGTTGAAGATTAGGAATGCTTATTAATTGAGATAGATTTAAATTTGAATGTCTAAAACAATAATGGTAAGTAACTTACCATTATTGTTATTGACTTATGACTTCGAAGGTGCATGTTATAGATAACGTTGAAGCTCGGCATTTTATTATATTTTTTAATAGCTTTTCTAGAATAGGTGACACAAATTCGATTCATCTTTGAATTTTGTGATTTACATCATGCGTTCTCTTGTTTTTCAAAATATATATTTACATCTGCTTAGGAGACCAATTATGGAAGTTTTCCGGATGGTACTGAATTCCTTAGCGACTTTTACGATCACTCTGTTGATTTGAGGGTAATTCAAAATGTTCCTAAGAATATGCACAAAACTCGGTTCATTCGTCAAAATATTGCAAAAATTTAATCCAGCACACTTTCCACCAAACGTTGACGTTATTTGAAATTCAGGCGGTCGAAGTAAAACACTGTAAAATGTTTATTTTGCTGAATGGACAGGTTTATTTTACTCTACTTATTCTTTTTCGCTTCATAACTTTGCCGAAAAAGCTTTGTTTACATACAATACAATTTTCAAAACTCACCCAAAACATATTAAATCCATACAGCATCTTTAGCAGGATCGCGTCTATGAGCTAATCTCAGAATTTCGCAGACCTATTAATGAACGAAGAATTATATATTATTATCATTTTCATGGTAACATTTTGTTTATCGATTAGCTTTAATTTACCAGAGGCGCTGTTATAAATTTACACAATGAGCTTGTGCAAGCAGATTATGAGCTATTTTTCCTTCAGATATTTTGGGGATTAGAAAAAGCGGACAACAATTCCAATTTTACCTAAACACACTACTCCAAACTGAATAAATTACTGAAAAAAATAGAGGCGATAAGTAACACCTTTTCCAGTGTCTCAAGTGTAGCTGCAATCTAAAAGCAATTGTAAATTGTAATTGTTTTTAGCAATATTCTTATTGCCTCTAGGCAAACGAGTCGTTGATGGTCGCAAGTAAGAAAATATTGGAATACCTATTCTATTTTTCTGCACACAATGTCAATGCTAAAATATTTATACCTATTGGCAGGCAGACCGGCTTATCAGCGTGACGTGAATTCGATTTTATTACATTCTTTATCATACATATTAATAGGAAGTACATTAAACAATCCGATATTTATAACAATGCTCCCAGGAGCGATTGATAGTGTTACTTGCTCTTAGATAGTTAATTGCTACTATCAACATAAATACGATAAATTCAATCAGTGGGTGGCACTATTTAACTTTTATTTTTCACAATATGAATTTAATTATTGTCACAATATGAAATATACACTGTAATTTCACTTACGAATATAATTACTAAAAAAAATTCATTTAAATCCTGTTAAATACACCAAATGGATATATTTTTTTCTTTGACGCAAGTATATTTTCAACTTTGTATGTATATATTTTTCCCTCTATTGGTTATATATTTCCCTCTATGTATTATTTTTAACAATTTAATAATTTTTCATTTGCCACAGTTGAAATCATTAATTTAATATTGAAGTTTTGTACGAAAAGTATTCATTGAAACTGCCATAATATTGTTATAAACACCTTGCATTAACGCAATGTTACTTTATTGATACATTAAAACATTTGGATATTTACAAAACAAATTAAATCATTTTTTCCAAAAAAAAATTCCAAATTAACTCAAACATTATTTATATTGAGAAAACATGCCTGTTTAGGTGCCTGGGTGCATAAGTCACCAATTAGCATCACCACCACTAACAAACTGTAATATTCTGTATTTTTTTTAACAACCAGAAAGTTTATCATTTGAAAAACTCTCTATCTTCTGCGGAAACGTTTGAAAGAAAATTTTTATCAAAACATAACACGAAAATTCCCTTTTATAATATTTTCCAATTTCTCGATGTCAAAAAATCAGTGTTAAACAGATAACAGGTGCCACGAATTCATTTAAAGACTAAATTGGGCGCAGACCATTTTCCATCGATATGTATGTAGGTATGTATGAGGTTTTAACAGTTGAAAGTAAACCATCTGTTGTCGCTCTCTGACCTGCTTGCTGCTTCCTTGTGTATCTTTTACGCATAATTATCACAAATTTATTAAAGTGGAAGACTAAAATTAATTCCTTTATACAACTGCCCAACAGAAGTCAGGATCCAAATTTAAAAGAAAACTTGATGTTATGAATAATTTATAATTCCGGGTAGTAAAGAAGTGAAAAGCATCGGAAAATTGTTAACGGAAAGCGAACAGCAAAATGAATAACAAAAGGTAATTTCTCAATGTAATCCCTTTTATCTGATAAGTACATTACGTAATGCAAAAACTTCTTAGAAATCATATTGTTACGCATGTTCATGCTTAACTCTTAGCAAATAACAATAGCAACTAATACGCAAGAATGTAGCAAGTCTTCGACATGAACCCGTGCACCGAGTGTCCTATCAGCTGACAACAAAAGGAAAATTATTCAAGTCACGAAAGCCATTATTTTCCGCTAGTTGTATTAACGTATAACCAAAAGTAGCGAACAGAGGAAAGAACTTGATTCACTGATTCTATCCACAACGGAAAGCGCTTATTATGTACAGTAAGACAAACGAAGGAACATAGAAACCTTTTCATCATCTAATTTTGCATTATGCACATGCAAATGACTTAACAGGAAATTTTATATAATATCATGTACAATTTTTCATTTCGATGAGCTCTGCAGATTACAACATTTCTTTTAACGAATCTCTGAACTTATTTAATTGGCTTTTTACTAAAAACATTAGCGAGTGAAGGGGAAAGTACCTGGTTTTATCTAAAGTCAAATTTTCACTTTCAATATTCGTCCAAATGTGTGCTTTGTTCATGAATATTGTGAAGGTTGTTGTATTAATTGAGTTTTCAAGCCACTAAAATTTAAGCTAAACACGGTTGAAATACTTTGCATTTGAGTAGTGATAATTCCCCGAAAACCTTCCTTCATTAAGAAACAAAACCAAGGATCTAATTATTTACTTCAAGGTGTAAAAATTAACTACGGTTAGAATGATATAAAAAAAATTAGAAAACCGCAACAAGTTAAACGTAAATAAGTGTAGTAACCCTAACAATACTTAGCTGCCCATTAAAAATATGACAGCAATTAGAAGCTGAATGCTGCAGAATTAGCAAATATTAAATCAGCAATTATGAAATAACAAAGTTAGCACTGAAAATTTGTTAAAATCCGTTAAACCGCAGGTCGGATTATTATAAAAGGTGGATTTGTTATGTTCTGTACGTATATGTTTTCTAGATCGCTTTTGCAAAAGTGAGTTTCAAGCTCCTAACCTGACTGAAATTTGGCATGCAATCGGATTAAGCTTTCTATTGATAAGATTTTAAAGTCGATCAAAGAGTTTGGCTAAGTTTCGCTCTGTAATGACACCTTAAATTGTATAGGTCCAAATCCGTATAAAATTCCTTACTAATCCTAAATTTCATTTTGAAAGAGAGTGCCTATTTAAGCATGTATGCAGTAAAACTTTACAGGGCGTTGTGCTCCAAGATGGATCAGAATTTCATTAATTAATGTTCCGAAAAAAGAAGAAAAAGCGACGATTAGTGTTACTTTTTATTTCGCCTCAACATTTTTGTCTTTCGAAAAGATGGAAGTTCCGCACGTCTTCTATTACAGATTGGTAAAGAGTGGAAGAAGAAAGGAATTTGGATAATTATTGCAATTTAAAACTTCTCATTACTCGTTTTTTTATATGGAACCATATCAACTTGTTGCAATCTCCTTTTTCACCATTATCGGATGATTTGAGTTTAAATTCGAATAGCAATTTATGAGTTGGTTTTCTATATACCAAAGTTTTAAAATTGTCTAAATTTTTCTAAGTTGGCATATTGACAATAGAAATTTTGTTGTTTTGTGTTCAAAGGCAAATTAACATGCGGGTTCTTCTTCTCGTAGATAAGATCAAAATTTGCTTTTTGTGCCACCTGACTATAAGTAGAAAACATATCAATATCTCACCAGCAAATAATTAAATCTTGCATAAAAATTGAAATTAGCAAAAACATTAATATGGAAACATTATCTTGAGGTTTCGGAAGCGATTCTGTTTTCTTTATCAAAAGGTTCCTAAAGAAGAGTGTATTAATAAAGCGTTCAAATAATTTAAAAAATTAGTACCAATTCTTAGATTTTCATCAGTGAGCAACGATGAAAGCTAAACGATGAAAATGATTCTAATCTAATGGAAACGACGCTTGTCATTTATTTTAATTTGATCTCCTTATCAGGCTAATAAATACAACTGACTGCAAGTAATTCCAGTTTCAAGTTCAATAGCCCGATGATTATCTAAGTGCACTTTACTATAACAATATAGTTGTGATACGGTAACGTGTTCAACTTTCTCTCTTTGGCAATACCTACTTGAAGGTGCATGCATGGTTCAAGTTCATCTGCACCGACTGGAGAGGTGATCCGAAAACAGTTCTAAAATTGTTTAGTTTCACAATAAATGATAATCTCAATTCTTTAGTAATTCTTGATACTCAACTAACAAAAACAATAGTGGTATAAACGTAACCATGAAACAAACGTTTAATATGCATTTGCAATCATACACATTGATAATATTTACATTGATTCATTGAAATTTTTTTCACACGTTATAACCAATCTTCATGCGGTTAACAGTATAATTTTTTGGCTTCAGAACGTTAATAGAATATTGGCATGATCCGATATCGAGACCAAACTGCCATAACATGGAAGTAATTAAATAGCAATTTTTGTTCATCTCAACCTTTCTCTGTGAGTGATATCCTGCGAAAGCCAATTATCAAACATCGCTTACACTCAGTGGATGGCACGCCAACCTTCGAAATTTAAAAAAATTGAACATGGGCCAGATATTGATGTGAAAGTTGTTGCAGTTACGTATAGCCGTCTAATTTAAATGATGGGCTTTGAAGCCTGTGAAAAAATATACGAAATTTTGGGCTAACACATCACCTAAAGGCACGGAAAAGGAACCTGCTATATTAGAGCAACAAATTTAGTTGGTATATTTGAAAGGCGATGTTATACAGCGTTCTATTGCCCCAGATTTTAACTATGCTTGGAGAAACAACATCTAATTGGTGTTTCATTTTGAAATTATAATATAAACTGGCCGTTTTATAAAGAAACTAGCTTACCAGGCAAACGTTGTATTGCCATATAAATTATTCCTAGGGTTTTTTTTTCATCTCGAGTGGGCGGTTTGCCCACTTGAGATTTTTTTTTATTTTGTTTTAAATTTATTGAATTACTAATATAGCTATTAGAAGATGGGGGTTTATGGCAGCACCCATATCACTTAGGGGTATGAAAAATAGATAACAACCTATTCTCGGACCTACTGAATATACATACAAAATTTCATCAAAATTGGTCAAGCCGTTTCGGAGGAATATGGTAACTAAAACTGTGACACGAGAATTTTATATATACAGATATAGCAATTTATTTTTGGCGCTCAATTTTCTTCAACATCATACCCTGATAAATGAAAATAAGTTTGCGACAATTATGTAATCTGTTATTTATGAATTTTAATAATCGTCTACTAGTACATACTAATAGTTTATTTCGCTGCTTTGAAAACGCTGTATCAAGCATTTGTATGTTTTATAAACGGCCATAAATCTTAATTTTTATCAGCAGAATAGAAGCAACTAAACCAATTAAGCATATGTCATATTAAATGTAAAATTGTGAAGTAGAAAGTGGCTGTTGATGTCATTGGCCGGCCTATTATTAATTTATAATTCACGAGCCTGATTTTTACAGAACAATTTGGCACGTGAATATTTTTACATTTGTCGACTTAACAAATTACTTTCTATTTACATTTCCGGTTAAGTCGGCGAATAATCATGTCGAAGCAAACCCAAATTTGATTGTATAATATTGCACAATGCGCAATACAAATATTTCGTACTACAAAAGAAACAAAAATTACAAACCCTATTTAAATAAAATTACTCAGTCACTATACTAGTGTACATTTGAACACTTTTATTTATACAGAATATTTAAAATACCCCAACGTAGGCGAATATATATGTAGTTGGTATAGCTGTGGAATCCAAAGGGTTTTGCGAAATGCTTAAATTATTTCTTTACAAATACTGAACTGATTTAGCGAGTGCCAGCATCGAATAGGTCGATTTTAAGTCTTAAAAAACTGAAGAGTTTGATTCATTTTCTTCTTCTATACAACGAAAGGAAATTGACACAAATTTTTCTCTCTAGTGTTGCTTTATCTTTAGCCAATTAAAATTCGTTTAATTTTTAAAACAATTTTTTTACATTCAATTGATTTTTTAATATATAGTTAATATAAAAACTGAATGTTCTTGAAATGTCTGTGTGTTCTTGAAGCTTCTAACATGATTTCACTCCTTGGCTTACCGTTCTGTGGGTCCAAATTATATTCTCTTCATTTTCCATAATTTTATCGTGTTTTTTTAAATTACAAAATTACAAAGCCAATTTTTTATACCTTTTTGAAACCAAAAATTACAACTCGGATGTTTATAAAAATGATCTCCAAGATTACTGTGTATAAATTTCCAAAAAGCATCTCTTCTTTTATTGATTGTTATTCGAATAATTCATTAGCCGTTTGAAGTTTATTAGTTACTTTTCGATAAACTTGACTTTCAAGTCTTACTAAATTTGTACTTTGATACTTACTACGCACAGGAGGAAAGAGAGGAAAATACTTGACAGAAAGCCATAACTAGCTCTCCCAAGCTCTCAACTATTAAAGAGTTAATTTAACATGCCGAATTTTCTGTTGCGCGCTAAAGGTTTGCGTTATGTTCAAAATATTCGACTAAATTTAAAATGATTCTGTTTTCGAACGATGAAATGTATTGTAGATATAAATAGTGAGTGGGTTTTCAATGTAGTGCTTTAAGTGGATTGAAATAAATCTAAATACTTTTAGTTATAGAATCTATACGTATATCGCAGTGAGCGATTTATGAGAGTTATTATTCATTCAGGAGCTAGTGAGATTGGCAAACCGATTAAATAGTGGTGATAACTCGCAAGGAGAATAATATAATTTGCCCATCACATTTTATAATATATGGTTTACCTATTTTTAACAAGTTTGAAGCCCTAGATAAGGCAAGTTTTTGATTGCAATAGTCTTAAAGATATTGTTCTCAAACAGCTAGTAAAAAAATGAGAAATTAAAATGTTACTGCTCGTTATGTTGAAATTGCAACATTGACCTGTTCATCAAATTGATAAGAAAATTTAACGCTTAAGTACTTAAGGAAACTAATCGGCCTCAACTAGTCTACCGTCAAGTCTACACGAAACTAATGCTGCTAAGTCTTATAAATATTCCTATTTGAGTTCGGCTATTCTTGACTACCCCCATAAGTTCAGTTATAATTATTTCACTGCATGCCTGCATTATTACCTCGAAAAGTTCTGTTGGAGTTCGATGCACTTCTCTGTAAACCTTACTCTTAACAGTAATCCAGAAGTAAAATTCTAATGCAGATCATCGCAACATTTTAATGAAGTGCAGTAATAGATCAACGGTTCGTAGGTATTGTTTGGAATGTTTCTGAAAGAATTACTGAAATCCATCATAAAATTTCAATGTTCTTAAATTTTGGTTTCCACATCTTTTTTGTCTAACTTCTTCAATTTCGGAGTCTTCAACCCACAGTAGTATCCTCTCTTGATCCATACCTTTTATCACATTTATACATAAACAGTAATTAAAAGTTTTAAATTAATTTCGTATGTAATAAAACATCAATAAAAAAGCAACAGTTCAACCACAAACTAAAGTAAATTGATTTTTGTGTGCGAACTAACTGATTGAGACTATTGGAAAGGAAGATTAAATTTTACAGACCTAGAAGAGGATATTGTTTAAACATTTCGTCATCTTTTTATTTATGACGAAAGTTCAACTGAATGTACATTTATAACATCGTAATCATTTATTGCACACAATAAATTTAAATCAGTGTTTCTGTGAGTCATATTTCGCATTGTTCGAAAATTTCTGATCCGGTATGATACCAAACAACGTTTACAGATTCCAAGTTGATTTATATTATGTACTGTTTGAAGTAGTTATTGCTCCCATTTATTGGTTTCCACAACTTAATAAATTTTTCAGATTTTTATTTTCTATCGACGAATCGGATGACCAGTGTTTTGAATCAAGCTCTCAAGTTAAAGGAGAGAAATAAAATAAGGACTTTTAGTAAAATAGTATCATTTTGTAATTTGTTAAATTCATCTAAACAAAATAACTTGTAAATCACCAAGTTTCTTCAAGAAGTGAGATGCTGAAATGTGCAGCTTCTGTAATTAATACACGGCGACTTAATTAAGTAACGACACGTAGCTCATATAATACATATAATATTCTAGTAAAATCCGAATATGTATGATCCCAATATCCCAAAAATGATGTTTAGTGAAAGTATGCTTATTGTATCACGTCATTTAATGGATATTTGGGCGATTTATGCATGATCGTTCAGGCCGAGCCCAATCTCTTGTGCTGAATTCAGATCTTTAATTATAAATTATTACTAATGAGAAGATTTTCGACCGCTATTTGCTTTCCGAGGAATGTCCGCATTTGCATCGACCAGTCTTGTACATTTAACACACTTTTCTATTCATTCATATATTTTTATTCAACCTTATTATTCCGTTGAGATTTATTGGTAAATAACATGCGTTTTGGAATGTAGAACAGGCTTGAGCCATGGAAACCCATCTATTTAGATGTTGTTGTTGTAAACGGACTAAAAGTTTTTAAATGTTTAAAAAATTGACTTGAGCACCAGGCGAATATAAATTAAACTTGTTAAATTAAAAAAATATTGTCTTGGATCCTACACGAAGATTAGATTAGAAATAATTTCTTTCTTCAATGCTTGATTAGCTGTTTAATACGTTTTTATAATTGATTTCAGACGGCCATTCTTACATTAATTCTAGTTCCTGTACGAGTGGGTCTGATATGTTTCTTCGTGGTAACAGGATGGATGTTGGCCACTGTTGGACTTTTTGGTGTGACTGAACAAGAATTACATGAGAAACCTTTAGAAGGATGGAGAAAGTAAGTGATGAAACGTGCGTGCTGGTGGTGGAGCTAATGAATTTTTAATAGTAACAATTTGTTCTCTATGGATGTTACTAGCTGCGTCTAAAATTATATTTATATAATATAAACATATTAAATGTTCTTAATGGTATAAGCCGTTTTCTGTTACCATTTCTGCACAGTACCTAAAGCTATTAAACCGGTGGCAGAGCTTCTCACCTAGATTGGTTAGACCCAATAAAATTGCACAATTAAATTACTGTTAAGTTCAATATTCTTCTAATGTTTCCTTAGTTAGTTTTGTAATTAATATTTTCTATCCCCCATCATTTTTTTAATCCATATTAACTAATTTAACTAATCATATCGTTTTGGCAGATCATTGAAACGCCTAATCGCAAAATTAATCTTCTGCATATATACAATAAGCGGAGTCCGTTTGAAGATAGTTGGACGACCATCGACAAAGGCTGAGGCACCTTTGGTTGCGTTAGCACCTCATTCTTCTTTCATGGACAGTGTGGCTATGGTGTACTTAGGAGGGCCTTCTATCGTGGCAAAGGGCGAAACTGCATCTATACCTTTCTTTGGGAGTACGTTTTCTATTTAAATAATTTGCAACACTGATGGAATATTATTGTAAAATCAATACTGATTCATTTTACATGGGTGCAGATTTGTTAATTAAAGTTTACTTTTTCTGTGCAATTTTTTTAAGTTTATTTCATTAAAATAAACTAAATTTGTTATATCATGACGATAAAAAGCCTTGCCAGAAGAAATAAATAAAAATATTTCGAAACTAATTCTGAACCGTTTGCAATGATGAAATTTCCTTTTCCCAGAAATCAACAGTTATAATAAAATTGTAATTCAGTTAATCGCTTTTATAGATCTTAAACCGAAAACAGCACTTGCTAATTTACTTTCATTTCATTGTACATCTCCATTAGTGTTGCAAAATATTTGCTTTCTTCTTTCTTGTTTCGTCCGCATGCTTAAAGTTGCTTGCATCAATTAATCGCTTAAATATTGTGCTTTTATACAGTGAAATTCAATGTTGCTGCCAATTAGATTCACCGTAGGCCTACATTGCAGTCTGTGGTGTCCGGCTTACTTAATATGCCGTATGTTGAGTGGCACTAGATGGCCAATGAAGTGTGAAGTTCATGTATACAGTTAATTGATTTGATAATCCGAGTTTTTCTATTCAATGACCTGCATATAATTGAATTAATACTCATATGAAATTAATTTTACATAATATGAAGCACTTTTTTATTTAGTCAATTGTAACTTATGTTGACACTTTAAAAGCAGAACAGCGTCTGAAATTATCAATTTATTTTTTTGCTAGAAGACCTAACGATTCAAACACTCGAAACAGGCAATTATCGAAAATGCCTAATAAATATGTTCATTTGGAAATATTCTAAACTAATGACTATGACTATCTTCGTCAAATTTGCGAAAAAAAAATTAAAATACATTCTGATTGCTTTGAACCTACTCTCCATTTTCTTTTGTTTGAGAGCATTCAGTAAATTGTAATATTAATCACCGTTTCTGCAATCTCCAATTAAATACGTATAAAAGAAAGATTGAAATAAATGAAATCGTGAAATCTTTAACAAATATAGTTTTGCTCAGCAAATTTTGCTCCACTATTTTGTATAAGCTACGGATTGTTAAAAGTTATAAAGCTATAAACTGATGCAAAATTGCCAACTCTTTGGTGTCATAAAGCATAAAAATTCGTTGAGCCAAATTTAATTAATTATTAAAGATGTTAGTGTTTAATTCATTCTCTAATCGTATGTCATGTACTGGATTCAAACTTTCGCATAAATAAATAAAAAGAATGAGTTAATCTATAACCAATAGGGAAGTGAACATCGCGATAGAACAGATTTTTAAGTATTATTGGCAAATGTTTGTTTTTTGGTACATGAAAAAGTTTATTTTTTAATGCAAAATTATACTTTCTGTATAATTTCTCTGATTAATTATTGCTGTATAAACATTTATAGTGAAACATCGTGCTTAAAATTGGTTCAGATTGAAACCAAAAAATTAAGTCAGGAACAGGTGATTTTTTGTTGATTATGCCTAAATCGTTCTATCCAAAAATGCTTTCGAAGGGAAGTGAGTCTGTATGAATATGGGCCTTTAACATGGATCCCATGTTATGGGTTGAATTCTGGTTGTTTATAGTGCTGCTAATAGGTGATATTAAGGCTCAACACAAGTTTATGTGTTACCTCTCATAGATACCATTTTTTTAGTTTTCGGGGCCTCTCTTTAATAGTCAACTTGATAATAAATGGTCTAAATAATAAGTATTATTTATTTAGAAGACAAAATTTATATTGCAATATCTTACGAAATAATCAACTTTCATAATTCGATTAAATTTTACTTGCTTATATTCCTCATAATTTTGGGAAGCTTCGAATTTATTAATGAAGAAAATAATAGAGCAATACCTATAGATCAATTACCGGCCATAATTTCAATTTTATGAAAGTATCGGAACGTAATTAAATGTTGCTTAATTGTTATTTTGGGTTAGTATTTTATGTACCGTATTTTCCCTTCACGTTTTAAGTAACTGCAGGTTATTCAAATGCAAATTAAATTCATTCAATTAGAAAGTGGAATTATATGTTATACAGGCGGGCATCAAATCAAGAGAATCATTCACATTTTCAGTCTTCAGTAAGCAAAAAAATTGTGATGCACTGTTGGCTTTCTTTTCATCTCCAGATGGAAGACTTGCAAAGACATCGTATACAACAATCATGTAATTGAGAATTTACGAGTAACAAAGCTTAGGGAGTCCAAACTCAAAAACTGAAATCCACTCACAATATGTTAATTAAATTCCAGATTTCCATTTAAAATTAAAAAAGTGGTTGCTTATTCTTTATGCATTCTATATAGCCACAGATTATGTTTTAAGTATTTTTTTGTGAAATCGTGATGGCTATAATCAGATGCAAAATGAACATTTTTATTTGCGAGTTCTGCAAATATTCCTATATTATTCATCCCTGATGGAAATTCACTTGGAACAAACTGAAAAAGAAAATTTGCCAAAATATGTACTAAGGAAAGTGACTGAAAATTGTCTTCATTACTTCGTTTTCATACTAGTAATAAAGTCTATGTTGCGAGGTTTAAAGGTGCATTTGATGTGTTTTGACACAAACAAAAACTTAAAAAACTTGTAGTATTTAATGAAAGTTGTGGTTGATAAATGTTGATGTTATTGCAGTCGTATTTTCTTTGGTAATGTTGAAAAATTTTGACAAAATGTAAATGTGTGTATTACAAATTCCTAGCGGATCTACTGACTTAAATTTTAAATATTTTCTCGTCATATTTAGATTTTTCACCGGGAATAGGTCCCAGTCCCAGTGAAAAAATTTACTTCCTACCGTGGTACTGCTAAATTTAGGAATTTGATGGAAAGAAATACTTTTTTCTAGTGACCTTCCCAATCACCTGATCCCAAACCGCTGGACTTTTTTAGTTAGACGTGTGCCTGATATACTCGGACAGAAATACATGACGTTCATGGATAATCGGATAAAAGACACTGCGAGCATCACAAATCTTTAAAAATGTGCTGCTTCTACATATTTTAAGAAGCTAAATATAAGTCTTTCTTGGCGACCAGGGGACTATAATTAACTGTTGAAATTATGTCTATATATTTTTTTCATATAATATTGAGTTTCTAATATGTTTTTCGCTTTTGACTTGAAATGTCCTAATCGGTTATTTATATGAATATTGACTCAAATGTGTAAATGTAAAAGACCAAATAATCCACAAATAAATCTATAAAATTAGCACTGAACAAACAAATCTTCTGCAAATTATGACTTGCACAAATCAAAATACAACAGTAGATCACGTGTATCATTCCAAGTTAAATATAGAGCAAGTTCAACGTTATTTCAAAATTATGCTTCATGTAAATATTTGGCTTGGATTACGAATGATGAGCTTTCCAGTTGCACCCGCTTTTCAATAGATTATCATATAGATAGATGCCCTTGCAATAAAAAGCGTTTAGTTTCTAACTAATACGTTATGAAGTTCTTACTAAAATGTGTATAAATAATTTATTTCGCATATAAACCTTCACCAAAAATTGCAATTGGTAGCTTGGGTAGTTCAAGGGAACTAGTTGGTACTTGGTGTTGCACAGTGTTAAATAGTTGGGTTTGAGAGCATCTACACTGAATGTCATTTGGATTGTACTGAAGCTGCTTGTAACTTTTCTTTTTTCGTTTTGAAATAGGAAATTAAAAAACATCATTTGCGTTTTGGGCCAGAGCAGCCTGATGGCAGGCGGCATGCACTTTACCATAAAAGGTAGGCAGGCCTCAAGAGACGAGGCCCCAATTTTAGTTGCCGCTCCACATTCCACCTTTCTGGATGCAGGGCTTGTTTACGTAACAGGGTTTCCTTCGACTATTGTTCGTACTGAAAGTGTCAGCTTTCATATAGGAAGTAGGTTTGAATTGAATTTAGTTTGGTTTTGGGTTTGGGATACACGATTGGATCCATAACATGATCTGCTTTTAACGATCTAATGGAGACATTAAGAAGCTAACTGTTCACGTGCTGAAATGACAAGTTTATCACAGAGCATCTTAAATTTTTTTAAAAGTCTTATTTTCTATTGCAACACGACAGCAATACAAATGATGTCTAAATCTGACCTAGTTCAAGGCGCTTTTAAAGGCTTAACGACGTTGTGCAAGCCGACAGGCAACGATTGCATGCAGAGATAAAAATACGTAAAACATATCTTTCATCTGGATCCACAATGCGGACAAAACCTGAAAATGGTTTTATATTTTATTAATTTAGAGGAACAGCCATACGGCTTTGAAAGGAGAAATAGAAAGTTTTGAGAATTTTAAACACAAATTGCTCAACGAAACGTTACACGCCCAAATTCACCTCAACTTAGGAACTGGAAATGTTTTTATTGCTGAGGGATTTCAACTCCAAAGGCGTAAAGGTGATGAAAAAAATACATTTTGTCGCCTTGCAGTGATTTTTTTCTTGGACCAAATTACGAAATCTAGAGCTCATGCTGAAGCCTAAAACTGCATAGTCGAGTAAAGACACACATTTTATAGATAAGGTTGCATTCATTAAAAGAGTCCCAAATTACAATTGCTTTGAAAATATCGTCGAAAAAAAAAGTTTAATTTCTATCAAAAATACTGAACACTTTAAGTTCCATGTTTGCATGAGTTAAGATTGATTGGTGGAGAAACCTCGCTTTGTTTGTATTCCGAAGATGGATTTACTTGAGATATCAGAACAACAACAGTATAACAAATATACCCATTCAGGCGAACACTAAAAGTACTCATCATTTTAAATGATGTATGGACAAATTAGACGATTAACTTATCTCATACTCGAAAATTACGTATATTCAACATGCGTGGTGCAAGTTTTGACAACAAAAATAAACGTTTTCGCAATCTTAGTTTTAACAATTCAACAATTTAATTGTTGTCAAGGTTTGCATAATTCATTTCCCTCAGTGTGCACTGAAATTAATTTAAATAAAAGTAACTACTAAACCATTGGAACCTGTAGGAAAAACTATTGCAATCGTCTCAGCAAAGCAGAAATTCAGAATATGCAATGTCTTTTCAATAAAATACATCATTAAATAATCGTAGCCGATTTCTTATAGAAGCAGAAAGTAAGAACATAATATGACAGATGCAATAATTTGCTAACTTCCTCAAATCTTCGAATTTTCGCTAAACTTTCGAAATACAGATACACCAGATTTGAAATAATAAAAATAATTTTTGTTGCTTATTTATATCTGCTGGCTAGAATGTCCTTGCAGTTACTGTAATTATTTCTTTTCACTTGTCGAAATTTGGCTATTTTAAAAAAGCGTAAAAACAGTAAGTAGAATTTTGTTTTGTCCTACTTTGGTTTCAAAAGAGAGTATCAGTAGCACAATAAAAGTTCAAAATAAAATTACGAAGAAACTTGTGACAAATGATGACTGAATGAATGAAAAACCATAGGACTGAAGTAAAACTTAAAAAAAATAAATCCGAAAGAAATTATTTGTTTCGAATTCTTCTAACAAAAATAAAATATTTTAAAAGTCTTGTTTCTTATTATTTTCAACTAAACTAAAAAACTAAAATTTATAAAAGGTATTATGCACGTCTTGTGTGTTTAATTAACTTAAAATTGTGTATTTATATTTGTCTAATACTAATGGAATGGCATGTGCACAAAGGTAATACGAATAAAGGCGTCTTCTAAAATTGAATGCATTTTTTAGAACTCATAAACTACACTCAGCCTATTTACGTCTGGCGAGACGATGCTGAATCCAGGCAAAAGTCAGTAAAAGAAATAATAAAACGAGCCAGTTCCCAGCTGGATTGGCCTCAAATTTTAATTTTCCCTGAAGGCACCTGCACCAACCGCTCTTGTTTGATTAGTTTCAAGAATGGAGCATTTTATCCTGGAGTTCCTATTCAACCAGTTTGCATTCGTTATCCGAATAAACTGGATACGGTAACATGGACATGGGAAGGACCAAGTGCGTAAGTATTTCATAAATAATAAATAATTTTAAATAATATTAAAGAAGGAAAGTTTCACTTTATTGATAGATTTCATTTTCTAACGCTCATCCGTATAGTCAAGAAAAGTTACAAAACATTTCATAATCAAAATATGTGTTAAATTACCACGTGTTGTAGATTATACATAATAAATTGATGAGTTTAGAAAAACTAGACAAAAAATATAAAAAATGGAACCGTTCAGCAAGCAGTGACAATGAAAACGTTCCTAAATATATTTTTTTGTCTACTCATCATATATTTAATTTTAACGCATACTTTTTTAAATTATTGCTTGTGATAACTTTCCGGAACATGTGAACAATCAAAATACTGAAGATTCAGTAAACTTATAAAAATACTTTTGAATTTTCAGATTGAAACTCTTATGGCTTACTCTAACACAACCCTCGAGCAACTGCATAGTTGAATTCCTCCCTGTTTACTATCCGAATGAAGAAGAAAAACGCGACGCCAAGTTGTTCGCCAACAATGTGAGAGCAATAATGGCCAAGTAAGGGATTTATAACTAATATAGCAAAACTATTTCATCAAATGTGTTATTGTTCTGATCTTTATATGAAGAGCCAAACGTTATATTTTATTTAGCAAGAGCTCAATTATACTGGCTAATTTCACATTGCCTGTGTTTATGAGAAAACGACTGTTCTATTTTAATAATTCCTTTGCAAGAAAGTGATTTTGTTGGAAATATTGGAATTAATCAAAATCTGATATTGATCGATCTAGTGATAAAATTGCGAAAAAGTGAAGGTTCTGTTATACAACATCATTTACATCTCGTATAATTGAAGAAAGCATTTTAATACTCAAGTAGGTAAAATTTAGGATCCATTAGGGAAATTGGACTCTCAAACATAAAAGAAAATATAAATGTTTTCTTTATTAATTCTAAATATACATGCCATTTAAAAAAATTACAGTTTAAAAAACATCTGAAATATATTGTGATAACTGTGTTGTTTATGCGAGTTATAAAATATTTTTAAGTGGAGTTTTAATAAGAAGGAAATTAAAATACATACGTTAATGTATCCTATAGTATAAATTTTGTTTTCACTTCCACTGATATTAATGTATTTATAAAGGAAAAGTAAAGAATTAACTTTTAAACAACTTTTTACTGCTTTTACACACGTTCTGGGAAATTGTGTTTCCGTGTCCTTTCTTTGCACTCCGTTAGTTCCAAAAATATTTGAGCGACATTGTAGAAAAGTTTTACATTTGGAACCAGCTACCAATAAAGTGCTTGCACGTTTTCCCGAGATAATTTTTATGTGTTTTATTTCAGAGCTTTAGGCATACCTGTGGTGGATTATTCATACAGTGATTGTAAAATGATGACCCGAGCCAAAGAAATGAACGTACCATTTGCCACATCACTGGTGGAAGTTAGAAAACTTCGAAAATCTCTAGGGTAAGCTTCATGAAGTTTTCCTGTTCCACAACAGGAGAATTTCAGGCACGTTAATGATAAAAAACCAAACTTATATTTAAAATTCGCCAGGCCGATTTAAAAAAGATCAAACACCGAATCGCACAAAACTGGCAGAGTTTGCATTAAAATCAAAAGTGTGATATAGAAAATTCTGTATGTAACAATTTATATTTTAAATTTTTATAAACACGGGTACGATCGTTAGGATACCTCTGACAAATTAATTATTTTAACATGTTTTGTAGGTTAAAAGGGACTGAACGAGAAGAGGCTTTAGTCAAAGCCAACAATTACGCATGCAGAGACTGCAGTAAAGTCACTTATATCGAATTTGTAGATATTATGAGGCTTCACTCAAATGAACAATTGGCACTGCAATTATTTAGAGTTTATGACAAGGTATGAATATATTCTGACTCAAAATGCCTCCAGCGATATTTTCACTTTAAAACGTGAGCAATATCCAAGTCATATGCTTACAGAGTATGTTTGTTTTAGAATAACACTGGGCTCATCGATCTCAGGGACTATCTTCTGGGTGTTTTGGCTACGGAGGAAGACAAAACTACTGAAGAAATTGTAGTTTTTGCTTTTCTGGTATATCTTCTTTATATCCAGACCTTTTCCTCTCAATTGGATCAATTTCAACGTATACTTTTTTAAAATTGTATTTATTAATTCCAGTGCTTTTCAGATATACGATGTGAAAAGAAATGGCAAACTTACACCGGATAGTTTCTGCAGAGCCGTATGTCACACTCTGGGTATTACCCAGGAATACGGTTTACAAATTTTTGATCAAGTTGATCGAAAACAGCTAGGATTTGTTCGTTTAGGTAACTTTAATCCACCAAAAATATTGGACCCTTTCTGACCTACAGTTTGTTTTACAGAGGATTTTCTAACTTGGGCGGCCAAATATATTCCTCACCTAATCTACAGTGAGACCGAGAAACCCAACTGGAAAAACTTAGCAATTTACCGTAACATTGACAAAAAAATTGACTGATCCGCGTGCATTGTCCATATGTAAATTTGGATAAAGCGTAATATAGTATTATTCATCAGGCATGTATAATATCCTGCAAAGTAAATGTGGGTGTTCAAAGGAGTGAGATTGTAAATAAATATTCAAATATTTCTCGTCGGTGATGCTGAATTTATTATAAAGATAAATCTATGTTGTCTCTAAATAGATACATTGTAAATATCTGATACCAGCAAAAAATAGCAAGCAGGGAACTATAGATCTAAAAAAATCAATTAGAGAACAATGTGGGGAAATCGCCGGTAGATTTTAGAGACTTTTACGAGAGTAAGAATGCAATTCCTAACAATAAGCGGCCAAGTATACTTATAAATATATACAGATTTTTTAGCAAACTTCCGCCATACCCAAACATCTACAGAAAATCCATATTTTTAGCATTATGTAATTGTTGTTAAGCATATTTGGCCCTCTTTGATTCTTGTGCTTCATACCAGCAATCCATATTAACCAACCGTATAAGTCATCGGTAAATACAGTTGTAAATATGTAGGAAAGTGATTCACTGGAAGTAATTAAGGGGATAAAAGAAGAAATTTTATTTATGAGTTCATTAAAAATTGCCAAAATTCCATTAATGTCGTCAATTTAAGTAACAGACTTACTTCTGTACATAAATTCTAATAAGAAATTGTAATATAATTACTATAGAGAATCAGATAAAAAGCTCATTTTAAAAATGCAAGTCCCATCGTATTTAGCGCTTACTTATAGTGTTCCATACCAATTGAAGCGAACAGATAGATTTAATTCGTTACCCACTTTTATTATATGTAAATAATTCAACCATAGTTTCCAAAAAGATGCACAATCGACTTGATTAAGGTATACATATTATTGCACCAGTTCCATAGCATGTCAAATTGTATCCACTAGAAATAAGAAGTAAATATTTATTCGTCTGTACATTTTTTGTCTTATTTCTTGTAATATACCTAAGTTAAAATTGGCAATATCAGTTAATACAGAATTTCTTTAGTTTTTCTGATTTTTCAATTGTGTAAATTCGATTTATAGATATTAAAAATAAATGGAAAGCAAACTGTAGTTTTAGTAAGTAGGTACATTGAAATATCAAAGAAGGCTTTCGCGGCCATTGCTTAAAACTGGTGAAATTTTCGAGCTTTTAGGATCACCAGAAACCTGAAATTTCTTAATTCCAATGCACAAAATTCTACACAACTGCACGGGCAAGTAAAATTATACCCAATTAACCAATAATAATGATATAAAAAATAAGAGCTTCATAGTTCAAAATTAAGCTTTTTTACAAATATTTTCAGTAAACCCTAACAAAGATGTTTAAGAGCTGAAAATTATTTCATCTGATGTGAAAAGACGGACTTCGTTAATTTAAAAATACCTAATTAAATTAAAATTTAAACCATAATTTTAGTTGACAAATACATTCCTTTATAAAAAAAGCTCAGCACATTCTAAGTATCGAATACCCAAACAACTTAAAAGGGGTCGATTCCATTTTTATACACTTTCCTTTGTTTTAACATGAAGTAATTCGGAATGCTGCTTTATTAATTTATATGTCCAAATTTTAATGCCTTTCTTGTGTGCATTACAAAAATATTTATGTTGGAGGTTTTTTTAGGAAAGATTACGTAAACTTTTTTCTCAAAAAATAGTCGACAAAAAATCGACGTTTGTTGGACACTTTTTTCGCTCAAAATAACAGCACAAAATTGCGTAGTGTCGTCTGTAAAAGCGGCAGAATACCAACAAAACACACCATTGAATTTTTTCTCCAACAAAAATGCAAGGAAATGTTGAACCTTCTGGCATGACCAAAACTATAAATAGTGGAAGATATGAACACTCTGTACAATCATTCCAAGGAACATGAGATATTTGTTCAAAGTCAAAGTTAATATACAGGGTGATTCATAACTTTATGAGCACAGAGCAGGGGCGTGTAGAGCACCTCAAAACAAATCGAGTTTCCATTTAAGTTTTTTTTCTCAGGCCCATAGTTAACGAGATACAGGGTGTTTAAAAAAAAATTTTAGTATTTTCTCTTTAACTCTTACAGTTTATGAGATATTTTGCTCAAATTTATACCCTGTGAAAATCTACAGGGTGTTCTTTTTTATAGAGGCATATCCCCTTTTACCCCCTCGAACTTTTTCGTGGTACGCCACTAACTTCTACCAAACACATTTTTGCATTTGTTGTGCAATTTAAGTTCTCTTTCAGCTTTTTCGAATCTGTCTTCGTTTTCGAGTTATTTGCACAAATATAAGTCCATGTAGGGTTCCTGGGTGAATTTCCACGAATTTTCTTATAATTCTTTTGCGTCCTTTTGTTGACATTTTTTTGAAAGAAATTAGTTTGAAATATTTGTTGCATTTTTGTGTATTTTTATTTGGATTAGCTTACAGCCGGCCGATAAACCTCAACTATTGTAAATTAAATTAACGTAAAAAAAAATAAATTTTTAAGTTAACTCGTCAGCCATCCCTATTTTAACTTCAACTTACACTTGGGGGCAAAAGGGCACAAAAAATGTATAAAAAAATTCATAGAAAATCACCCAGAAAACCTACATGGACTTTGGACTACATATTTGAGCAAATAACAAACGACGACAGATACGAAAAAACTGCAAGAGTTCAGAACATTTTTAAATTGAACAACAAATGCAAAAATGTGTTCGCTCGAAGTCCGTGGGCACCACAACCAAGTTCTGGGGGGTTAAAGGGGGTATGCTTCTAGAAAAAAGAACACCCAGTCGCCTTACCAACGGATAAAGGGTCTAATTTTTATATAATTTGTAGCTAGTAGTAATTACAGTTCAAGTGTTTTTAAACGCTTTTGTAAAATACGTACTGTGAACGAAATCTTGTGCTTTTATATGAATAATTTATCAAGAGCGGCAATCTAGCCTATGCAAGACAATTCGTCTCTGAACTAATTATATGCTATTTTTTATTAAATTCCGTACTGAATGCAAAATGCAGAGAGGTTCGCTAGACCACTCACAAAACACTACAACAATTTTTAAAAAATTAAGATTTCATTGTAGACTCGACACTGAAAACTTTGAAAAAGTTTACTTTCTAATTAAAATTAGATAAAAGCATACAAATTTGTGTTTAAAAAAGAAAACTGATAATTTGTGTAAGAACGGTTGAATCTCATTCTGACTGAACTATAAAAATGTCATTTTGCATCATAGCATTCACATCATAAAAAGCAAATCACCGACAGTTAAGTCCAGTTTTACCTTCAAAATCAAGTTCATAGTTGAAATGGCCCAAGCGTCCTTTAGCGAAGTCTCCAAATTTTTTTTGAAGCTATCTGGACTATGGCCATTTAAAATAAGTGATAACGTTCTTGTAGATAAAATCTATAGATTCTACACCTTGTGTCAGATATGTTATTATCTATGTGTGATTTTGGGTCTTTCAATAAATCTCGTAATTTTAATTATAAGATTTGATGAACCCCAAAGAATTATCAGAGACATAAACTTGTTTATAATAGCCTTTGAGATTTGTCTCAAAGTAGTCATTTTTCAGGTACTTAGATTAACGTTACTAGATTAGATTTCCGTTAACATTTCCGCACTACTACCTACTGTTACTGTGTACTCACCTACTGCACACATATTTTATAATTATATCTTCAGTTGGGATTATTTATCAGTGTAGGTCTTAACGATATCCCTTGATTAATGATTATACACTGCCAAAAATATTTACCAGGAGGTACATCTGAACAGATTATAGAGAAACTCCTGCGGTTTCCATTTCGGGGTCTCTATTATAGTTTCAGAAAAATACACATTGACGTTTACTCGAATACATAAGGAAGAATAAAGAACTAAGGGAAACGAAAATGATTGGTGCAATACCGATGAGCAACTAAAGATATGTCGACGACATAGTGATTTTAGCGGAGGACATCGAAAACCTGCTGATCTAAAGGACAGAGCCGTAAGTTCAGAGGTGTTGTGTGGAACAGAGTCGTTGTTTGTCCTGCTAAGCCGGATTAGCACGTCAACTAATACAGAAGATACGGAATACGGAAGTACGATAATCTGGGAGACCAACTCTATAAACGGTAGTTTACCTATAGAAGGTAGACATGTAGAAGAGAGAAGCAATATATTTGCTTTGGCGTGCGAATAAAACCCAAAATGTAATACTTCTGGGAAGTAGGAAAAGAAAAGTGTGAAACAGTGCACGCCAACTTTATTCAGATAAAAAATTAATTCTGCAGTAAAATTTAATTATCACGTAAACAGGGTGACTCAAAATTGGCGTCATTCCTTATATGGTTATAGGGGCTCACTCGAAGACCACGAAAAACTATATAATTTTTTTTCCTAAAATTTCTAGAAGACATTAAAATTTGAAATCGAATTTCAAGTTTGATAATTAAAAATTCGGACAGCAGAGTTACGATCTTTACTTAAAATCATGAAAATTTTTATATTAAAAAAGTGCTCTTCTTCAATTTTTTGATGAACTTCAAAGCCGCAGTTTTTGTCAAATTGTGACTTTGTCTGAATCCTATAGAGAGTCATAGTGGACGACCAAAAAGTGTTCGGCTCCAAGACATAGAGAAACACGTATTGCGCAACAGCTGACAAAAGCCGACGCTTTCTCAGGCAACTGTGCACCAGATAATTACCGAGGAAAGAGTACATTTCTACCATGGATGTACGATATACAGGACACTAAGGCACATTAAGTCTCTGGTCTACCGAACACCGGTACAAATTGAGCCCGAGGTAATTAATTGAGCTGTTGAGCCTACAGTGAGTTTGTTAACTTGCTTTTTCAGTTTTAAGAAGCAACAGGTATTTTACCATCATCGGCCTCTCGGCGTCCACTGCTGGACATAAGCCTCCTCAAGTGTCTTCCATTTTTCTCTATCTTGCGCGGTTCCAATCCAGTTTGTGGATATTCGCTTCAAATCATCCGTCCATCGGGCTGGCGGTCTCCCTACACTTCTCATGTCATCCCGAGGTCTCCATTCCAGTAATTTCGTCGACCATCTCCCGTTCCTTGTTCTAGACACATGTCCAGCCCACCGCCATTTCAGCCTTGTAATTTCTTCAATTATGTTTTGTGTGTTCTGCGTCTCAAATCCTCGTTTCGGACTCTGTCTTTCAGGCACATAGTCACATTTAAGGGGCAGAATGAGTGAATGTCGCAGTTCTTTAAAAAATTGAAGCAATCTTGATGTGTAGGATTGACAAACGTTCAAAGACTGACAAAAGTTGGCCAGAATAGTAAAAAGACGTAAAGTCGTATAGCCATAAAATGAGTGGAAAGACATATGGAATTTTACAGTCAATAGTCCAGAGAAAACACAGATTGCTCTGTAGAAAGTGGCTCCCGGTGTTGCACTCACAAACCTAAGAAAATGGTAGAGAATCTCGGTCTAATCGAATTTTCATAGCAGCGATATTTATCGCGATAACAACGACAATAAATGAATCTACTCTTCGAGAGATTCGGAGATGGCACCTGAAGAAAAAGAACCAGAAGAGAGCCGCATTTTAAATGGAACTAACAAATAGCCCTTTCGCAGCTCCCATCATCCCTTGTTAAAAGTTCCAAGTTTCCTTCACTTGCACTAGTATAGATTTAACTAATGTAACCCCTTCAAAGCCCATATTATTGGTCCAACTGACTATAAATAATCATCTGATAACAGTAAATAACAGCAAAAATCACTGGAACCTTTTCTTAGCACAAAATTTCCTCTGTTTTCAGACACAAAGAATAACTGTAAAAAGTCCTACCACTGGTTGTCGTTAAAATATTAATACTAATAGTACCCATCCTTATAGTTTAGAAACGTCCCTCATATGTTGTATCAAATTACTCGATACGAAGATACCATAGAAGGATCTAGCGATGCAGAAGTGAAGGCATATTATGCTAAAGATGCAATCTACTGTCGACGAATAAATGTGTTTCAATTCATAGCTACATTCCTTGCATGCGCCAGTTTTGCGCAAGATTCAGTAGTAATATTTCTTACCTCTGATGACATGAGCGTGTTTAAAGATACTCCATTTATGCACGACCTCTGGTATCCATTCAATAGAGCAGACTATATATATTTGGTCATTTGTATCGCTTTCATATGTGATACTCAAGGGCTAATATGCAATACAGCTAGCCAAACCACATTGCTTTGCGTGATGATTTATGCAAGAACAAGACTGAAAATCTTACAAATTCGCTTGCGAAAGTTTGATAAGATTGCTGTTGAAGAGTACGAAGGTGATGTAGTACGCGCCGTCAAGGATCTTATAGCTGAACATCAATATTTAATAAAGTAAGGCCCTCAAAAAAGAAAAGAATGATCTGTATTGAATAGATATGTCTGCAGTGTATAGAATCGATAGTTTTAATTGATTTCACTGCTTTCTGGTTTCAGTTTTGTTAAGTCATTGAATGACCGAACGCAACACGTTTTGTTGCTTGAATTCATGCTAAATTCACTATGTTTAGCATCCGGCACAAGTCAGTTTATTATAGTAAGTACTAGAAAAGATATTCTTTTAGGCAACAGTTAAAATGTACTTTTATTTGCTATACATTTAAAAATTATGATAATTTTTTAGCACCTTGTATCACCCTAAATATAAAGTTTTAATTCGATCAATTCCAGTTTTGTTTATTAAATCCTAATTATATTTATTTTCATATACTTAAATGTGTTATTAACTTTGAAGTTTAGCTGTTATTATAAATATTTATCAATTCGTAATTATTACCGTTAAATTTAAATAAATACCAAATGCAAGAAAATATAATAAAAGAAAAAATTAGTAATATATTTTCCAGAAACTCCGTGTTATGTCCAAATTTCAATATTCACTCTCCTCTCACTAAATATATTGAACCTCCCAAAACATCTAAAGACTGTTCATATGTTCATACCAACTGAAGCAAAATATTGCAATTTAATAATTATTTTCATTTAATAATATTATTAAAATATTTTCTAATGTAATGGTATCCCACCTACAAGATTCAATCCAAAACTGTGTGTTTTTTCGGTTTCTTCTGAAGAAAACACGATAAAGCACCGTAGAGCTTTAAACAATCTCTTCGCAAGAAAACGACTGGCAAATAAAGATTTATACAAAATATGTTTTATAATTTTTTTTCAGATCGATACAACTTCGGGTTGGTTGGCCACTGTATTCCTTAACTTGTATGTAATTGTTCAGATATTTATCCTATCGTGGCATGCAAATGAAATATCGGTAGAGGTATGTAAAGTGAACAAATTTTTGATAAGTTATTTTGTAACAATTGGTATATGTATATTGTGACATTCTACAAAGAAACTTTTCCCATTTTTAGGGCTTAGCAGTATCGGATGCCATCGCTGCTAGTCAATGGCAAAAGCAAAGCAAAGAGGTACAAAAGCTGTTAATAATAATGATGATGAGAGCTCAAAAGCCAATTGGACTCACAGCAGGACCATTTTTTCGAATGACAAACTCTACTGCGGTGCAAGTAAAGTGTATTCTATCTAAACTTCAATTCAATGTGCAGAATGTACTTTTTACAGACGATGAAAGTGGCTTATTCCTACGCATCTATAATGACGCAAAATATGCCTGAATAGATACAAATCGCAAAAAAGCGATGATGTTTAGTAGAAAATAAAATATAGTTGTCCCAGCAGCTTTCTAATTTTTATTGCATATTCATATAAGGAATTCTAAGTATATTATATATATTCATATAAGGAAAGTATTCTAATACTGAAAGCGTTAAATTTAAAAAAATTCAGGATTGAAAGTAACAAAGAAACTGGAATAAACATCCGAATTTTCATAAACAATCCGAAACAATTTACGATTTAAAAACATGCAAATTTGCTATTTTATTTTGGGTATTTCCACGATTTCCCTATAATAGAGCAAGAAACTAATATTATATCACGTTTGACTAAGAAGAGCACAGCTGTTAAAATTTTCAATTGATTGGAAAAGAGAAAAAAATCCACTGCTCAATTATTCCATGTTAATTTCCTTTTCAATACGTCTATTTTCAATTATTGGATATACTAATACGCGATAGAATCACCTCCATCCCTACGTGAATCCCTCAAGTGGCCTTTCATTCTTCTACATTTTTTCAAAAGAATTTTTCTATTTTTGAACTAATTATATACTAAGTAGTGAACCGAAATAAAGCACTGAATTCTAATCGACTCTATAGAACAGTCAGATGAGAAAATTCGTTTCCAGTTTATAGTTTACTTTGGAAATATAATAACTTCATATTAAACGTGTTTAATTTACTTTAAACAATATTCGAATTCAAACTCTCAGAAAAGAAAAAATTACTCAAAAAACTTTTTGCTCAAAAAGCTAATTTGAAATTTGTGGGCAGCGCCAAAATTTAATTTGAAATTGTAATAATAGTAAGATAGTATTCCAGCTCGAAGCAACAAAGAATTGGTGTGTAATTACACATTATTGAAAAATTTCGATAACAATACAATAAACAGCTAACAGTTTGAAGTCCTAACTATTAATACCTATATTTACTGGGCTATTTGGATGATTATACATTCATTTTCTAATTTCATTCGTACAAAATCTAATACGAGAACAATTAAATCTAATTTTGCATTCGACTTAAGGTAGTTTGTTCGAAAAATGAGAACAGCCAGACTTATCAGAGTGCCCAAACTATTTCTGTTGCTTTGCGGCCTGTGGCCTTTCAAAATTACAAATAACATAATTTTTAAGAAATTATATAAGTTTTACACTATATATCAGTTGATTGCTTATGTGAGTGTAGTGCTAAATCTTCTGGGGAACCTTATTATTATTCTGATTAAACATGACCAACCCGAGAGAATAATTAGCTCTCTAAATATGTTCATTATAGTATTTGAAACATGCCTGAAAGTCGTCATTTTTCAGGTAACCAAATAGAAATCAAAAGTTCACTTTGCTTAATGATTTATGAATGGATAAATTATTGAGCACTGTTGACTTTGTAGAGTTTTAGTGGATTAACCAAAAGGACACCCACGTTAACATTAAGTTTATTCTTTTTTGCGAAAGAAATCGCAAACAGTCTTGTTGACTAAGCTAGACAGCTAACATGTATTTAGCCTGGGATGATTTCAGCTTCAGAAAGTTCCACTGATGTTTTCTGAGATTTCAAAGTACGAAGCAGCAATGAGAGCCTCTAACGATACTCAAGTGAGGAAATACTACGAACAAGAAGTACAGTACTGCAGAAGAATCAACATATTTCAGTTCCTAGTTACATTTTTCGCATGCGGCGGTTTCGCACATATTTCAATAATGAAAGTGGTGGCTTCTGAAGACATGTCTGAATTTAAGGATACTCCATTCATGCACGATCTTTGGTATCCTTTCAAGAGAGAAAAACACATGCCATGGGTCATGACTGTTGCAATATTATGCGATACCCAGGGTCTGTTTTGCAACGCAGCAAGTCAAAGTACACTTATTTGTTTGATGATTTATGCCAGAACAAGGCTCAGAATTTTACAAGTTCGCCTAAAAAAGTTTGACGAGATTGCCCAAGAACGGCAACACGACGGCAATGCAGAAAGAACAATCAAAGAACTGATAAACGAACATCAATACTTAATTGGGTAAGATAAGATTGGAAAATGAAAAAACCAACCAAAACTATTTTACATCAATAACAGTTTTTACTGGTTTATGAATATTAATGCCTTTTGGATATGTGATAATATAATATATGTATTATATGTAATATTAACATACATAAGTTCTAAAATTCGAACAATTTTATTTCCAGTCTCGCTGCAAATGAAACCTCTGTGCCTTAAAACCCAGTTAAAATTTTAGGAGTAAAATCACTCTCAGATCTGATTTGCCTGCATACTTTGTCAATACATTTATTAAATACTCAATATTTTAACATTTCAGATAGACACTGCTTCCGGTTGGATATCGGTTTTATGTCTTAATATGTATGTAATTGCTCAAATTTTTATACTGTCGTGGCATGCTAATGAAATTTCGGAAGAGGTGCGCAAAGCGAAACTTAAGCGAGACAAGAATTCGAATTTGCTACCATTCAGTTATTTTTAGGGTTTAGCAGTATCGGATGCTATAGCTGCTAGCCAATGGGAAAAGCAAAGCAAAGAGGTACAAAAGCTGTTGATGGTAATGATGATGAGAGCTCAAAAGCCAATTGGTCTCACCGCAGGGCCGTTTTTTCCAATGACAAACTCTACTGCGGTGCAGGTGCAACGCTTTCGATCTAAACTTCTATTCAATATGAAAATTTGGGTTTTGCAGACGATGAAAGTGGCTTATTCCTACACATCCATAATGAGGCAAAATATTCCTGATTAGAAATGAAATGCAGGAAAATGATGAGTACAAATGTAGCGATGTTCAGAAATAGCCAAAGATTTCTTTAAAATGAAAGAAACATACAATTTCCAGTAGTTTCTTAATTTTTGTTGGAAATCTGACCATAAAGTGTATCTTGTTTTGTTGTTTCCAATAGGTATGCCCAATTATTATAAATATAAGGAAAATAAAATATATAATTGATTTCAATCGAGTCAATTACGATTTAATGCGCCAGTTTTAATGGATCACAAAACCCACCTGTTAATATTTAATTCTGCAAATTTTCCTTGCAAGTTGTTTTCAAATTATTTGATGCTGAAAATTAGATAGTGTTCCACATAAAAGACCAAAATATTGGGTTGTAATAAGAAATGCACGTTTTCTCATCTGCAGAAATCTTATTATTTCTCATCTAAGTTTGTTTTGTTGTTTCGGATGATTTCATATAAGAAAATACATTCGTGTGGAACATTGTTTACAAGCCTTAACGTCTCTATTTTAGAATTACAAATTTAGAATTATCCAAATAAATCAAATTTAGAATAAAAAATTCTCAATATTCTTTCGCATCATCTGAAAGCGAGGAACAGCTTTATATATTTCAAGAAATGACTCCAAATGTTTTATTAGATGGATGTTTTTTTACTTGTCAGGAGTTCTTTAGCGGGGGTCCCAAAGTGTACTGAAATTGCAGTATGTAGCTTAGTTGTATATTAATTTATGACATAGTTTTATTTATGTAAAGGTGCATTTTTTTTGTTATTTTTGTTATTAATATTATTATTTTAAGCAATTAAATATATAATTTCGAAACCGTTATTTCCAATGACCGAATAACTAATTTTAGTGTGAATTAGTGCACTACCAAAAAGTTTGTTATTATTTCTCGAAGGCTTAAAAAACTCTTAAAGAAAAACAAAGAATGTATTAAACCAATTGACATAATCAATGACGTAAATCGTGCAGATTATTTTATAAGAGCGCTATGTAATCAATCTCGAGAACAGAAATTTCTTCATGATAAATATACTTTATACTTCATGATACATATTAAGTGTTATTAAAGGCTTTTGTAAAATATCTACTGTGAACGAAATCATCTGTATGTATATCAATAATTCATTAAATCCCGCAATCTAGGCTATGCAAGACAAATCGTCTCTGAACTAATTATATGCCGTTTTGATTCATTAAATTGTGCACTGAATATAAAATGTAGGTTAATTCACTAGACCACTCTGATAGAACACTGACTAAGAAAAAATGAGCGAATAAAAAATGTATGTATAAGTTCACAGCCTTAAAGACATGTATTAACGGTTGATTTTCATTCTGACTGAACTATAGCAATCTATATCACTCACTTGGCAACGAATCATAGATTATAAAATGCTTAAGAACAGCAGTTAATTCCAGTTTTCATATTAAAGTCAAGTTCATTGTTTCAAATGGCCAAGACGTTATCTTTCATACAACTTTCCAAATTTTATTTGTTATTATCTGGCCTATGGCCATTTAAAATAAGTGACAACTTTCTAGTGGATAAAATCTATAGAATCTACACTTTGTGCCAGATATGTTACTATTTATGTGTGATATTCGGTCTTTTAGTAAACCTCGTAATTTTGATTATACGATTCGATCAACCCCAGAGAATTATAGGAGACATAAACTTGTTTATAATAGTCTTTGAGTGCTGTCTCAAAGTAGTAATTTTTCAGGTACTGATCATCATAAACATGTAGTATGCCAATTAGATTTCCTTTCATGTTGCACACACCCTCATTAGTTATATCTTAAGTGGTAAATTTTTCGGTTAATAAGCATTGATGCATTTGCGCCAATATTATTTCGGGACTCACTATATTAAGTTTCTTTGATAAAACTATTTTTGAAATAACATTTATTATAGTTCAAAAGGAATTAATAAAATATTATGAACCGAACAAAAATAAAAAATTATGCTCCTGCATTATCATTTCGACAATTATTGTAAACAGGTTTTTATAGATAGCAAAAATGCTATCGATTTGTTGTGGCTGCTTTCATCATTTCCGAGTGCTCACTTCGTCCCTTATTACCGCTCAGACTTTGCCATGCTAATTTATTCAATATAAGAATCTCTATAATCAAATAAACCTTCTCAAAATAAACTATCTAGATCTGAAAATATACGAATTAGCACTAACCTGTGTTATAATCAAAACAATGCACATTGGCGATCATTAACAGTTATACAATGATGACCACGATAATGATGAATCAAAATAATATTGCATTGACAATCAGACATCAGAAGCAATCATAATAACAATAATTGCAAGCGCCTTGAAAAGCGAAGAAGATTGATGCCGTACCGGTGAACAACCGCAGATGTGCCGACGATACAGTCAGTTTACCGGAGAAAATCAAAGGACCACTGACACAAATTAAATGAAAAATAAACCTAAAGTGAAAATTTAAAAAATGAAAACTAACTTTCTAAACTAACTAAAAAATTTAAATTTAAATGAAAAATAAAACTCAAACGAAATTTGAGGTTTCAAGGCAGCAAAGACCTAAAACAATTGTTTCCCAATTACGAGTTTGTTCTTGTCTCGCCCAAACGTTATGAAATAAACGATATAAAAATATTTATTTTACACTTACTAACCTAGGAAGGAAAAGAATATAATAACAATTTCACGCAGTCAGGAAAATAAATCAAAGTAATTCTTTAATAAACACAAATATTGTTGAAATATGCACAATTGGTTGCAGATTTTGCAGTATGATAGTTTTGAGCAACTCGAACTTTTAAAGTTTGGTTGTTTAAACGGGATATGTAGTTTTCAGTATTGACATACTTATGTTTTGACGTAATAATTCTCAGACGCACTCATCTGTATGCCAGCATGTCTCCAAATAAAAAGTTTTCAGATTTACCTCTACGATAATTTTTCTTGGGAAAATATTTTCACATTTGAAACTCATCACTTAAGATAATTCTTTAATTATATTCTTTTCCCTGCTGGGTTTCAGTCAAAGTGTGAAATTATTTGCTTAGGTCTTTGCTGCCTTAAAACCTCAAATTTAAATGAAAAATAAAACTCAAACGAAATTTGAGGTTTCAAGGCAGCAAAGACCTAAAACAATTGTTT